AGAATCATAACCCTACCCCCATGCTCAAAATAAATTTTTACCAGTAGCTAAATGTCTCCAATATATATTATTAAGAATTTACAGAATTTAACCACTTTGATAATTTTAAAACTAAACAGGATATTATATTAAATTAGGAGTGACAATGTAAATTCAAATATAATTTATATATATATAGATCATCATTAAATGTAGTTTTTTATATCTTAGGCGAATATTTTTACTAACAGCTAAAATGCTAAAATGTCTCTAATATATTTTACTTAAAATTTTACTAAAAATTTACAGGATTATAGTAGTGCTAATTGAACTTAAGATTCGATCAAATTTGTATTTTACTTATTTTGAAATTTGATGCAGGGTAAAGTATTTTTTAACTATTTTTCATTTCATTTCATGTACTTTTTAAATCTATCATTCGGATTATGGCATGGAAATAAGGATTTTTAATTTATAGTCCACTGGTTGTAAAACAAGATTGAATACATAATGTTTTAGTCACAAGTACCAACTACCTATGAAAATTTGATTTGATTCTTGTAAGAAATCCACCCAATCCTCTTCTCTCTTGTTAAGGGACCTGTATACTGAGCACCTTTTAAGGACTATTTCATGCACGAAAACCCATTTGTTGAAGATGATATGTTATATCACTGATCATGTACACATATTTAAACATTTTTACTGCTTAACGACTGCTTTTCTTACTTACTGTATAAAAAATGGATTTAAAAATTATTTGCTGAAATAAAATAACGTTAAAAAAAGAAAAAAATTTGATGGTATTGAATGCCAGCTAGCGTTCATAATAATGTCCGTTTAAAATTATGTCTGTTCAATGTTCATTTAATGTCTGTCCAGATAAGGTCCGATAAGGTCTGCTTATTATAATACCAACATTTTAAAAATGACGTTTCAAAAGATAAGTTGTTGATACACGAAGTTATCGCAAATGAATTGTTCTGACCAAACAGTAACGATTGAATGCTAGAAACCACCTCCAATGAAACATATTATAAGGGGTCATTCATAAACGAAAACTCAGACTCAAATTGTGAGATAATCTTAGATTTTGAGATCAAATTCGCTTTTGGTATTCGTAAAGTTAAGTATTTGCTGGGCTGAGTATTTTGTCGCTAGTAAATGCTCAGAGTTGGAACTAGCACTCAAATCGGTATTCATAAAGTAACTCAAGATTGGTATTCATAAAGTTAGCAAATGATCAAAACTCATGCTCAAAATGTGAGAACCGAATTCAAATTCTCAAATCATTTTCTCACCTTTCTCATTTTCTCTACCTATTGCTCAACGACTTTTAACGTCAATAACTTCCCTTCTAATTTATATTTTCACTTCAAATTATCAGGGACGACTCCTCACTGCCAGTACAAAAGCTCTAATATATTTTGTCCCGATTGGATGACGTTTTTGCAAATTTTCCCAGAAAAATAAACACGTTAGAGTATAAGCTTCCTTGTAAGTCCAATATAGATGCGACCATTACGGTTAGTTAAAGCTAAAAATGGTGTCCCCACGACATTCAGGAGCCAAGTAACGCAGATCAGTCATCAATTCAAAAAATAGTTATAAAAAACCTCTCTGAAAGCTTTGGCTAGGACTAGCGATAAAAATTGCGTACCGAGATGATTGTAATAGGTTGAACAGTGAAAACAAACTACGGTGGGATTCGGGAAACTACCGTGGATAAAAGAAAACTACAGTAAATCACGGTAAACCACTGTAAAAGGGACGTGAAATTGCCTGTAGGGGACACAATATCGCACACGAAACATTCATTATAGATATCAAGAATGATTCTGAATTATCTTCGGAGTCAAGGGTGTTGTCATTTTGCCGCCATTTCAAGATTGCGATATCACAAATTCCATCACAGACATATGCGGTACGTGATGTGCGAATGTCGAATGTACTCGACACAAATTTCCCTCGAAAATGTTTATTTCACATTCCTTCGATACATCGATGTACAATGTACATCCGAATTTGGGTGTTTTCCCATTAGCATAAGATGGCAAACAAAAGATCTGAATTAACCTGTCGTGCTTCTTAAAATACTGATTTGAGTATTTGAGTGCTAGTTTGAGAGCATTTTAGTGAGTATTTACTTGAATGTAAGCCATACTCACGATGAATTCAGTTTGAGTATTAGTTTTTACTGGGCAGTAAATGCTCAAACTTTGTGAATACCGATTTTGAGACAAAATCTAAGTAATTACTAGCGAGTATTTACTTAAGAAATACTTAGTTATTATGAATGACCCCCATAGTTACATATCTTAGTTCGTTTTAATTATGGCGGGTTAAATTCGGCGGTATTTCAGAAATTCCGTCATATTTTAACCCGCCATTATTTTAACCCACCACAAACGGTCAGCCATTAGCTAATAACGAACCATGGCGAAGTAACAAGTCACTAGGTTCCTTACTCTGTACTGAGAAGGACATTCAAAGAAGGAGAATCCTAGCTGAGATTGCTTTTAAGAACTTTGGAAAAGTATGGTTGTCCGGTAAGAAAATTTCCCTTGAAAGAAAGCTGAGGTTATATGATGCTCAAGTTGTATCTGTATTGATTTACAACTCAAATAGTTGGAGTCCTAAGAAAGCAACCATGGAGAAAATGGACACACTCCATCGTAGACACCTCAGGTCCATTTTAAACATCAAATGGCCTAAAGGTATGATAAGCAACAAAGCATTGTATGTAAGGTGCAAAGTTGAAAAGTTATCCAAGCGTATTGAACACCAGCGGTGGAAGATGTTTGGACACATTCTCAGGAGTATGGAGAACACCCCAGCCCAAACGGCTCTCTCTTTTGCTATTGAATCAGATAATTTATTCATTGGTAGATTGGGGAGACCTAGAATGAACTTGTTATCGGTTTTAAGAAGTGATTTAAGTAGTAGAAATTTGCAAATGGACAACTTGCATGAATTGAACGAAATTAGAGATATAGCTGCATGCAACAGATGTTGGGAAAATCTTTTTCAAGGGTACAGTTTACCGCATTAAGGTATTTTTAAGAATCATTTTTGTCGGTAAGATCCTGTTTTATAATAATAATAATAATAATAAAACCCGCAGAGTCAACTTTTGGATTTCTGACAGGGTATATGTCATAATGATTTTATCATTCCTATTTTACATTGAAAGAAGCATCATGAACTCACTTTCGACCATAGCGAGGTGGTTTTATTCAAATACTTTGGTTGTAATTTTTTTGATTGAAATCTTTTAAATCAATCAACTACATACAAATTACACAATGGAATAAGCTACGAAATGTACCTTGAGAGAAAGTTTGGCTAATCAAATGACTTGTGGGTCACCAAAACACAGATACAACTCCTGCACAAGCATGGGCCCACCCAAAATCAGAATATACCCCCACAATTAATTACTAATCAAGTTAACCGCCAATAAAATAAATTACCAATCCAGTCAATTAACAATCAAAGCATATGATATTTATGAATTATGAAAATAATGGAACGAGATGAGATGAAATGCAGAGCCTAAAATTTTCAAGTAGAACCATTCAATAGCCACCAATCATACATCACGCATCGATAAGGGCGCCAAAAAGACGTGCGCACCACCATGTCTACAAATAGGAAGTGAAAACTAGCAACGTCGATCTGGTAGACATAATGACCAGACATAACATTATTGAACTGTCTCCAATGAGGCATCTGATTCTGAATCAGTGCCACTCGGCAGAATTTTCTCCCACATGTGAGCACTAAGCTTGGATTTAAATTCTGTAATATTTTCAACCTCTTGAATATGATTCCATTCGGTATGAGCTCTAAAGGAGAAATTTTTGGAAAAATATATGTGTGCTTGTACAGGGTACATTGTACACTGTACACTGTACACTGTACACTGTACAGGGTATTGTACACTGTACAGGGTATTGTACACTGTACAGGGTATTGTACACTGTACTGGGTATAACGGAACTAATGAAACAGAGACTGTAGAGATGGCTATTTCATAATCTCGAGTCCCCTCGGTATGGCATTATGTATGATGGTAGTATGACTGGTACAGGTCCTTTAACTATCTTAAAGAAGTCTGCCGCACATGTACCTGGACGAACATGTACCTGGACGAACAAGTACTGTCAAAATGATTGATACCGTGCTACGATACTTATTACCTATTCTAACTAACTACCTATTCATATCGACAGATATGATACCACAATACTTTTAATTTTAAATGTTATTTTACTTTGCAAACAAAAACACAGTCTGGAAGGAAAATTGGGTAGAATTTTGCAATATGACTGGTAAATTCGGTGGATTTTCATATCGGTGGATATGTATACTGTATAGTATATCTGCGAAAAGAAGGAAAGAAGCAAATTTAAATTATGTTATTTTGATATTATTCAATGGCCATTTATAAGAGAGCCGCTCTTTAAGAATATGTATTGTAAATTTAGTTATTCATAATTTGTTGAATGGTGAACGTTTGTTTGTATCTTCGAGCTTTCCCATTAGAATTAAAAAATCTCCTTCATATTATAGAACCAGGGTGTGGACTATACCTGGCTAAGCACTTTCATCCCATAACTGGATAACATAATACTCAATAGATGTAATAGATCAGTAGTGTTGCAATTAGTTAAAACTGTACATATACACTACATTATATTGTACATAATATATAATATAGTGACCATAGAAAAAAAGGCGAAAGAAAACTTTGGGAATACAGAAAAAATGTAATATTTAGCATAATTATGATCATATCAATCAATCCCTTAATAAATTCAACCCCTCCCCAAGTCAAAACTGACAAACAAAATCGCCATCTTTCAAAACATGACTGGTTAACGTATCACGTTAAAGATAGAGTTGGACCACAATTTTAGGAACAATTACAGTCCAAACTCCCATACCTCAGGCGATCAGAACACCGTGATCCGGGCTTTAATGGAAATTATCTGTAAAATGATTAACATGCTGCTAACCTGTGGAGTAAGTCTGCGTCTGTGAAGAGCGTCGGTGACATAATCAGGTCCACTCTGCTCACTTGGGCACGTGCTAGTTGTCTCCATATTCGGGCTGATGTAGAACATGGTCTGAAGCTGGGAGACAGAGGAGCGCAGAGCGTCCACTGTCTTCTGCTGTGCGTCTTGCTGGTCTGGCTGTGACCACAGTCCTGAAGAGAATGCTTTACAGAGAGATAACATCTTATCTACTACATCTTATCTACTCATATAGCACCTAAGTTATAACTTCTTTACCATCATTGTGGATCTTAGACTTGAGTAAATTTGCCCACATATAAGCTGTTAACAATATCAATTTTCGAGCGTAACTCAAGGTTTTTGTTGTTAAATAGCGAGTGACATAATTAATTCCAATAAAAAATGTGCCATATTGTAAGCTGATAATATTATTGTAAAGCTTTACCCTCGGATATCCAGCCGAATAGACCGGAAGCAGCAGCACTCTGACCGACTGAGGGAGTGCTCTTTGACAGCTGCTTTTCCAGGTGCATTATCTGAAGAAAATTTCGTCAGTTACATTTCTGATTTCTAACATTTGACACATTTCTTGTTGTTTATCTCCTGATTTTTTAGACTGAAACATACAAACCACACTAGTGTACGAGTACACAATGGTACACGCAAAATGGACAAATTTTCACCACTTTTTTAAATCTTTACCAGAGGGAAAAACAGGGGGAGTTGCTATATTTTGATACAATCTTGTGCAGCTGCATGGTTTTTTTGGCCTAATTTTGCGATTTTGCCCAAGAAGAAAACAGTCCAATCATCCCAGATCCACTTTAACTCAATGCTACGGTCAAAAATACGTCTAGGGAGGTGGAACTAAACTCTCTAGCGTATCGAGCAGAAAATACCCGTAAGGCCTTCTACTACACAAAAAAACTTTCTTTACCTCCCCGGAAAGTTTGTCGAGCAGCTCTTGAGCTGCCTCCCCCTCCGTAAACACGTTGACAATGTTGTGGGTGTTCCCTCTCTCCAGCTCACATATCGTCCTGAAGTGTAGTTCACTCGGTTAAAAGTTTGGAGCAATCACAGCTCTTGCTAGAGATAACTTTAGCTGCAAATGTTTAAATTATACTTTGAAATAGCCCATATGTTTTTATTGGGCGCCTCATAGCCGTCAGAACTCTCTCGGATATCAAACGGCTATCACTTTAAACCAAAAGGAGCCACAAAATTCAAACCTGAGCAGAGGTGGGGCGGAATATATTTTGAGGACACGTGACAGCAACGTGACATTCTTCCCACTGCAGATAAGCGAGTGAGACATTCTTCTGAGGCACCGGTCCAGCAAGTTGCAGTAGGCTGGCAGGTTGTCCCGGATAAAGTTCTGCCATTCTGATATGTTGCTGTCTGTAAGGGGACCTGCACAGATACGGTGTCATGTTAAGGCGGAGTTTGTTTTCGCTTCTTTATTAAAACCAATCTACTTCACCGCTACTAAGTTTTTATGCTTTGGTTCAATAATCCAATTTTTAATCGATTGAGTATTTTCAAATTTCGCCAAATATTAGTCGTCATAATAATAAGAAGTATTATTATATATATATATATATTATCATATAGCATTATTATATAATATTATATATTATTATATATGATATGTACGTCGTAATGTTAAGAAATGTATTATGTAAGTGATAATATCCGTACCAGGGACAATAGAGGTGTATCTCCAGGGTTGGATGTAACTTAACCATGTCTCCAGCAAACCTCTAAAACTCGATATCAGTGGCCACGTAGCAAAGTGGTAATTTAGAAACTGAAAATGAAGCAAAGTGGTAAGTTAGAAACTGAAAATGAAGCAAAGTGGTAAGTTAGAAACTGAAAATGTTTGTTGGTTTTATTTTTCAGCAGCTAGCATATCAGGGATTGTCACGTGAAAATGTAGCAAAGTGGTAAGTTAGAAACTGAAAATGTTTGTTGGTTTTATTTTTCAGCAGCTAGCATATCAGGGATTGTCACGTACAAAACTAATTCGACAAAACAACGAGTAAAAAGACAGCGAATAAAAAAGACAGCGAACGAAAAGTTAATCCGTTTTTAAAACTCAGCTCAGAACAATCCAATCAAAAGATTATCATAATGCAGTTTATATTGACTTAAGTATCAAGACTCGATAGTCGATAGTGTATAAAAGCAGCATATCTCGAAGGATGACCCACCTGGTAGGTGTTGCTCTGGAATGAGGATGATATATAATTGGTGATATCCTCCGTGTACCGGTCCTTTACCAGGTGAGGGGTGTAGACAAACCGGTGCGTGTGTTTCACCAGCATCCTGATTATCCGTACCTGGTGTCGGGAGTAATTGTGAGTAATTGTGAGCAATTGTGAGTAATTGTGAGTAATTGTGAGTAATTGTGAGTAATTGCGAGTAATTGTGAGTAATTGTCAGTAATTGTGAGTAATTGTGAGTAATTGTGAGTAATTTTGAGTAATTGTGAGTAATTGTGAGTAATTGTGAGTAATTGTGAGTAATTGTGATTAATTGTGAGTAATTGTGAGTAATTGTGAGTAATTGTGAGCGGTTAAGAAATCAGGATTATAGACTTAACAGTAATATTGGTTTGGTGTGATTAGTTTGGTTTGGTTAACAAACAGATTTGTAACATAGGTCTGGGATCAGATTAACGGACGTTTAGGCAAGGTTTTAAAATATGGGACACACTCAACCACTGGGCCTATCCTGAAGTAAGATAAAGAACCCGCAGGTCTCCCTCAAGAGATTTCAACGGATTGTGAACCAATGCCTGACTGACCTGCAAATCCTTGTTGTTGTGATCATAGGAGTCCATTCTCCAGGGTATGAGTGAGCGACTTTGGTGCTATTGGTGACAACGAAATAGATGAAGAATGAAAGTGAACTGTGAAAGACAACAAGTTTGGAATAGATATGTGAGATTGTTACAAGCGTAATAAAAAGCCACATTCTAATGCAGATTGCAGGATTGTATTTTATTGTGAATTAGTGAGTATCGTTCAAATTGCAAACAAGCGCTCACTTGATCGATAGAAAGAACAACTTTGTTGGTATCATTTCCCCTCTGATTAAGCCACATTTCAAACATGATCTCCGCAAATGCTTGAGATAGAGAGTAGGTGTTTGGTACGAATCTGTTGATAGGATGAGCTGCTCCAAAGTTTGGTATACTGTTTCCTACGGGGAGAAGTTTTATTAAGGGTATGTTGATGAACTTAATGCTACCATCAGTTAAGTACGATGTACACAACTAAGAAATTACTTCCATCAAGTAATAAATTCAAAAAATTAGTGGAAATAAAGTACCGGGTGGTAAGAAGAAGTGAAGGTAGTCCTCAACCAGCTGGGTATAGAGCACATCAGCCAGACTAGCAGGCCAGACCACGCCCGGGGGAGGGTGAATCAGGAAGTAGGTGAAGTACATGAAGTAGTAGTGGTATGCAGTCATGCTCAACTCCTTCGACTCTATATCCACGTTCACGAACATCCTGAGAGGCACTAGGTCAGGGGGGGGGGGGGGGCGGGTAGTGGTTATTTGGTTATTTATATTACGTTTTTATTTTGAAGGTGATCGTGAATTAAGCACTCGTCATCTTGATTTAGCCTAGTTTAAGTCGAATAGTGCATGGTTGCGGCTTAATTTTTAGAATCAATTGACTAAATTGGATAAAAACCTATGAATAATCGGTCAGGGAATTTTCGATTAATTATCCCAAGTAATACTATCGATATCCAGACAATCCGTAGGTTTTCTGCATTTTTATGTGTAATTTTGCAATAAATATCAGAAAACTTGTTAAATCGCATAATATCGCGATTTCATGCCGCACCTAAATGATTCCATTTACCTGTAGAGAGACGGTACAGCTCTGTCGTTAAGCAGAGCAACTGAGTTTGGGGGTAGAGCGTTAAAAGGAAACAGAAAGTGAGAGGAATTGTCGCTTTCCAAACATTGCAGAGCTTTGAACAGGCAGCCTGAAGTTGGAAGAGAAAGTAAGTGATCGAGCAATATAACAATGCAAAAGTTTCAATATCTAGAAATATTGATCATCTACGTTTCATTTCATGGAATAGGCTAAATTTAGCTATCGTGCGACTGAGAGAGTTTAGAAAAATTTGTTATATAAAGGGTGATGGTATGACCAATTTGTAAAGTAATTTACGATCAAATAATTATTACACTATGTTGTGTCACATAACAAGATCAAAGATGTTTGGAAGGAAGAATCGAAGTTTAAACAGTAAAACACACTTGAAAGCACTAAAACTACAAGTCCCAGTCACAAAAACTCCTAAAACAATCCTGCATTCCACCATTTCCACTCACACAGTCCCCGGGGCAGTTCCCAGAGGGAATACCTTAAGTCCCCTCTCAGACCCCTTATACAGTCCCGTGCTTACCACGCCCATACTCCGCCTGGTCATGTGACCATCTACCTCCTTACTGGCGCCACTGTTTAGAGTATCCACTGACACACAGTTCCCTAACAAACTCTCAAGATACGTGTTCAACTGCTTGGTTTCTGGGGAGTCACGTGATGTTACTATGACGATCAGACTGTCTCTTAGCAACCTCTGAACTAACATAACAACGTCTTTCAGCTGACAACCCAGTCCCAGTAACAAGTGAATCTCAGTTAACACCACAACCTGATTTCCTTCAACTTTCTTCAACCATTCTGGATTATTTAAATTATTGTCCAGATCAGGTGGAGTGTGTAGCAGACAGTTAAGTTCACTGTATTTCAGTTTACCAGACTCCTTAACCTCGCTAACATTGACCCCACTTTTAGCGAGTAAAGTATCATAATGGTGAACACTGCTGTCCCCAAAGTGATGGACTATTGTGATAGTTCGATTTAGCTTGAGTTGTTTTTGTGTCAGGTTGCAGAGCAGTGCAGATGTGTTGCTGTGACGACCACTTGAGAGTAGGTAGTTGCAGTCAGGTACCAGGGCTTCTAGAATCATCCTATAGCAATAATCTTAGGTTAGTTAATAGTTATGTTGAGCGCAACACTAGATATTAGTAATACTATCAAGCTGGACCTACCTCCATTGGGTTTGAGGAAGGCTCTGATAGCTTTAAAATCAGTAGGATGGAAGTTAGAGTGAAGAGATGAGAGTCTCCAGCCGGGGGTTGAGTCGTAGCCGAATATGTTGGAGAGAAGTTGGGGCAGGTACATGTGGAGCTGTCTAATAGGGAGGGTGGGCAGGAGCTCCGTCAGGTTCTGAGGTGTTAGGGTGGTGTTAGGGAGGCGTTAGGGTGGTGTTAGGGAGGTGTTAGGAAGGTGTTAGGAAGGTGTTAGGGAGGTGTTAGGGAGGTGTTAGGTGTTAGGGATGTTTTAGGGAGGTGTTAGGTGTTAGGGATGTGTTATGGATGTGGTAGGTGTTAGGAGGGTGTTAGGAAGGTGTTAGGAAGGTGTTAGGAAGGTGTTAGTAAGGTGTTAGGAAGGTGTTAGGAAGGTGCTATCAAGGTGTTAGGGAGGTGTTAGGTGTAAGGGATGTTTTAGGGAGGTGTTAGGTGTTAGGGATGTGTTAGGGATGTGCTAGGTGTTATGAAGGTGTTAGGGAGGTGTTATGGAGGTGTTAGGTGTTAGGGATGTTTTAGGGAGGTGTTCAGTTTTAGGAAGGTGTTAGGAAGGTGTTAGGGAGGTGTTAGGGAGGTGTTAGGGAGGTGTTAGGGAGGTGTTAGGGAGGTGTTGGGGAGGTGTTAGCATGTGCTACTAATCACTCTGCTATGTAGTAGATTTATTAAAGTTAATAAAGTGTCTTTTTAAAAAGCCATTTTTAAAATTTGGTTAATGTTTTTAGTGATGGGAATTACTGACTTGACATCTGACAGATAGAGGTTCTTGTTTGAGGATTGCGAGTGCGTTATCCATGCTAGTCTGAAGGAAAATGGTTGAAGATATTGCAAAATATATATCAAATTATTCTTACAAGATAGGAGCTGACTGTTAGCACAGAATCAAAGGGGAAAAAATAAGTATTTCTAAAACTACTAGCAGTTGAGCTATTAAAATAAATCAGACAAACAGTTGGCTTGAAAATTACTTCGAATGAGATTAAAAGTAACGTCAATGATAATATTTATCTCTAAAATTAACATTAACTACCTCACTGGCTACAGGCCTTAAGTGGTTTTCAGATCCGAAATGATTGAACCGAGTCGGGGTTAAATTTAAAATCAACCTTCAGAAAACAATTTCGTGAAATATACTCTTGAGGGCCACCGAGGTAGATCTGGGGCCTAAGATACAAAACAAAATATAATAATTATGAGTATTAACATTCAATTTAAAGCTACTGAACAGAGTTTCAAAAATTTACACAGATATGTCAGCCGTAACATTTAACACTCTATACAAACATACCAATAAACATAATTTTCATATACTTTGCATAATAATGAATCATAAACCGTCTTAACTAAGATCTCTCGCCCATGAAATGAATTCAAATTCTTTCGGAGTTAAAACATGGACTACAATGATAAGGATTCAGAGATTGCTCCTTCTTAAACTGAAAACTTGGTTTTCACAGCCTTGCTTCATATTAATACATATTTTCCATTTCAATAGGTAAGTAAAACTGTACCCATAAAGTGACCTGAATAATAAAACTGTCCGAAACATTACAAAAATCCCACTGCGTATAAAACACGATACATACAAAACAAAGTCCCACTAAAACATTATACTTTTACCAGCGCAGTGACATTAACCGCTTCATATTAGTTCATGAAACAAGTCATATATAAAGCAATTTAATTCGGACTAAAACAATGGGGTTAAAATAATGTCCGGGAGGATAATAAGAAATTTGGAAATAATAGAGCAGCTTGCTCATCCTTCGGCCTCGGGGTCGTTTTCTCTGGATATTAGATATGAGTCCACCCCTGAAATGAGTGCAAAATTAATGTACGTATGGGTAATGAGACAAATCATTTTAATTGGTCAAGTTGGAGCTAATTAATTATAAGTTAAATGAATCTATCATAGGTCTCCTGGAGATTGAGGATCACATAGTTGATACATCTGTCCAGCCACGATTGAATCAGCATTATCGTGATAAGCTTACTGCAGTTCCGGAATGACTTATCATTAAAGACAGACTAAATGCTGAACAACAAATAATCACAGTTGATCTGCCAGCAAATAACTCAGCCAAGTTACATAATAAAACTGCTTCATTCATTTGTTTATTTCTGTAAGTTCATTCGTAATTAAATATCTTTTGGTAACAATCAGCATGGATTTCAAATTGCTGGGGCTGCTGCTGATGGTTTGTTTTGTTATGCCACTTCATTTCCTCGACATTATCCTACACTACAGGTAACGTTAGTTCTGTCTTTTACGAGGATATTATGTTTATAGAACCCAATTGCATGCAACACATTTTTATTCAAGCTGATGACTTAACGTAAAATAAGCCGTCGCTTTGCAAGGAAAGTTAGTTGTTTATCTTGAGCAACGTCGATTTGCTAAACATAATATATCACTAATTACTTACGGTCGAAGATCGCCGAAAGTAAAAAGTAGCTACGAAGGCCACCAATAAACTCAGCTAAAACTCTATGACGCGTAAATTGTAAGGAGAAGACTCCTCAAATCAAACCACTTCCAGGTATAGACACTACAACAGATCTGTGCAGATGGAGACACAGCAAGCGGAGAGCGAGGCCTCCCCATCCCCACCAGATACCTCTTATCTCGGGAAAATACGACTCAATTATACCAGCGAGAGGGCCAGTGTGCTGTTTTCAACTGCAGATGAGATTGATTTGTATTTGGAGTATATGGAGAACTCTGGAGGAGGCAGAGTGAGCTATGGGAAGAGGCGCTATGTGGAGAGGAGACCCTCTGTGAGAAATAGACTAGTGCGATTTAGGACACTTCATTAGAGGTGGACAGCGCCTTTTTGGTTATATTCGGTATTAGAGCCAACTTGTGATTGTATCATGAGCTCTTTCATGAGTTATTCAAATTTTTACAAAAAATCACGTAGTTTTTATTACCACAGTTAAACCCCGATTTTCTGCGGAGTTTGAGGGAAAGAAACAACCGCGGTAAATCGAGGTCTGCGGTAAATTGGGGTTTTACTGTATCATGCTTCAAATTCCCCGTCATAACATTAACATCAGCACTAAACATAGAAACAATACGAACAGCCAGCAGTGAGCAATAAATCCTTAACTAGGAATATGATGATCGATAGCCGGTGACGAAATTAAACATGACAGCGGTAACATTAGCTATTTCATAAGCTTTAAGCAGTAAATAATAAAGTTAAATAAGTTATTATTAAATGATTAGCAGCAGCGTAGTAGTACTATAAGTTAAATAAGTTATTGAATAATTAGCAGCAGCGTAGCAGTACTATAAGGTAAATAAGTTATTGAATAATTAGCAGCAGCGTAGCAGTAATATAAGTTAAATAAGTTATTGAATAATTAGCAGCAGCGTAGCAGTAATATAAGTTAAATAAGTTATTGAATAATTAGCAGCAGCGTAGCAGTACTATAAGGTAAATAAGTTATTGAATAATTAGCAGCAGCGTAGCAGTAATATAAGTTAAATAAGTTATTGAATAATTAGCAGCAGCGTAGTAGTACTATAAGGTAAATAAGTTATTGAATAATTAGCAGCAGCGTAGCAGTAATATAAGTTAAATAAGTTATTGAATAATTAGCAGCAGCGTAGCAGTACTATAAGTTAAATAAGTTATTGAATAATTAGCAGCAGCGTAGCAGTAATATAAGTTAAATAAGTTATTGAATAATTAGCAGCAGCGTAGTAGTACTATAAGTTAAATAAGTTATTGAATAATTAGCAGCAGCGTAGCAGTAATATAAGTTAAATAAGTTATTGAATAATTAGCAGCAGCGTAGCAGTACTATAAGTTAAATAAGTTATTGAATAATTAGCAGCAGCGTAGCAGTAATATAAGTTAAATAAGTTATTGAATAATTAGCAGCAGCGTAGCAGTACTATAAGTTAAATAAGTTATTGAATAATTAGCAGCAGCGTAGCAGTACTATAAGGTAAATAAGTTATTGAATAATTAGCAGCAGCGTAGCAGTAATATAAGTTAAATAAGTTATTGAATAATTAGCAGCAGCGTAGTAGTACTATAAGGTAAATAAGTTATTGAATAATTAGCAGCAGCGTAGCAGTAATATAAGTTAAATAAGTTATTGAATAATTAGCAGCAGCGTAGCAGTACTATAAGGTAAATAAGTTATTGAATAATTAGCAGCAGCGTAGCAGTAATATAAGTTAAATAAGTTATTGAATAATTAGCAGCAGCGTAGTAGTACTATAAGTTAAATAAGTTATTGAATAATTAGCAGCAGCGTAGCAGTACTATAAGTTAAATAAGTTATTGAATAATTAGCAGCAGCGTAGTAGTACTATAAGTTAAATAAGTTATTGAATAATTAGCAGCAGCGTAGCAGTTAATCAAGTATCTGACCAAAAATCCGCACAATCATTTGAGTATAGTAGGTTTGTGATGTTATTTGGCTCCAGTAGGGTTTAAAGATCAAAAAAAATTTCTGTGTCTATGAAGTGTGTGGCCACGCCCTTTTATACGATCGTGGGAAAATCTTACATGTTCCTGAAATAAATTCATATTCTTATAATTAAAGCATATAGGGTATCCAAACCAATGTTTTTTGGCTCGGGAAATCGATTGGTGATGTCAATTTGACTCTCAGACCACTCCCTGATAAGATAACCACGCCCATATTCACAATCGAGCTTCAAAATTCCAAAAAATGTAAGTGATTTTCTTGGACAAATTGGGTGTCGAAACCAATGTTTTTTGGCTCGGGAAATCGATTGGTGATGTCAATTTGACTCTCAGACCACTCCCTGATAAGATAACCACGCCCATATTCACAATCGAGCTTCAAAATTCCAAACAATGTAAGTGATTTTCTTGGACAAATTGGGTGTCGAAACCAAAGTTTTTTGGCTCGGGAAATCGATTGGCGATGTATATTTGACTCTCAGGCCACTCCCTGATGAGATGACCACGCCCATATTCACAATTGAGCCTCAAAATTCCCATAAATTTAAGTGATTTTCTTGGACAAGTTGGGTGTTGAAATCGTTGTTTTTTTTGCACAGGAAATCGATTGGTTACGTCTATTGCACGAAAATGCCACACAGAACTAAATTGAAACAGTTTTTTGAAATAGGTTGCATCAAAATAATATAATATTTAAACATAGTGGCTATTAATGATAAAAATAAATAAAATCATAGGTATGGTCATTTATTTTCGCAATTAATGCAAAGGCAAAAGTCTGAACATTTTGACCCCTCCGCTTTAACACAAGAACAATGTTTAGTTTTGCATCCAGTTTTACATCGGCAAGTGTTGCAAAGTTCATCAGGAATGAGGTGAAGTTCCTTGTTGGCATAAAGGTCGCCCTCCTGATCTTCCCAGCCATATTCAAGAGCATTAAGGGTACAGCGTTCATGTTCTGGTGTTAAAAGATTGGAACTTTCTTTTAAAAGGTACCACCATCGTCTTATATGCCCATTCCTAATAGAATAAGAGGTTGGAGGAAGACCAAGAGCAGAACCAGTTTTCTTGTGAACCTGAAGTCTCAGCTCATCAAATGTTTTGACTCCATTTGAAGCTGATAAAACTTTTACAAGATATTCTTCTGCGACCTTTAGTTGCTCCTCGTCTAAAGTTGCTGTTTTGCCAAAACTGCGCAGACTTTTCTCCGGGTCAGCAGTCAGTGCACACCTCTTTGACCCCACTTTGCTTAGGTGATCAGATCCTGTTGCTAGATGTGCACTGAGAATTTCTTGACAAAAGTCTTTTTCCGAATCTTTCAAACATTATGTGCACTGGCAACATCCTTCGCTTCTCACCTTAACCAAGCTGCAAGAATAAGTTCTGTAACCCAAGACTATGAAATTTTTCAAAGTAGTGTAACAACAGCACCAGTACATCAGTATCCTCTGATATCACTGTGATACGAGACCTTGAAAACATAGTTATGTCCCATGCAATATGTGGTATTATCCTGAGGTCTGCTTCTTCGTATTTGAGGTTCAGCTGATCAATTTGTTGTACATTACCCAGTTCATTAAGATGGAGTGCTGGTTTAGAGACATTTTCCACAACTGTACCACTGAAAATGATTGATTTGTTGACCTTACGAGCCAAATCAAGAACATGCGACGTTACAAAGCTCTGGAACTTTACTTTGTTTGCAGAGCATGCCCAAAACTTCGGCATCTGTTCGGGAACTTTAGTGTCGCTTCTTATTCTTGCTAGGCGGATAATTCCGCCAGCGGCAGCAATCCTGGTAGCTCTTTCACCGCCTTTAAGAGAATTTTCAATGTAGCTGTCAAAAACGATGTGAAAAAGTGCTACATCGGGAAACCTCTTGAAAACTCTGGCAAATGCCTCTGCCACCATCATCCCGAATGTCCAGGTTGAAGGGTTATCCTGGATTCCAAATAAAGACGGTGCTTTCAGGTCTTTAACTCTTGTATCCAAGCTTTGTCCCTTGATGAACGACATAAAGTCGACCACAACAGCCTCCTCGTTAGAAGGATTACATATAAGATCGTCAGTTTTGAAGGATGCTTTCTTTTCAAGCTCCTCCCTCATTTTATTTTTGATTAGTTTTACCATCAAAGAACCGTCGAAGAGGATACTATAGTTTGTAATATCATACTTAAGAACTCTTGCTAAATCTCCATCTTTACTTTTTGCAATAGAAAGGACTTTGATTGCCAGCCTTGAAGCTCGCTCGTTTTTCTTGATATTCTTTTCAGTGGCATCTGATTTAGCAGCTGTTACATGATCCACAGGAAGTAAATTTGTCTTGCTGATCTTGTTTGCCAATAACCTTGTCTTTTCTTTGTAAACTGATTTTTGGAACTCCTCATACTTCTCAGATACAATCTCAAAGAAATCATAATGCATCTTGGCAACACTGTCTTCAGCATAAACTTGCGTAACAAGGTTTTTAACTTTGTCGTGATTCTCCTTGCAAAATGGATTTCCTTGACTACTTACAAAACTTGTGGTACTGTCAGTGCAAGCATTGATCTCTTGAATCTTTCTAGAACTTAAATGATGGTGGGAAGATGCATTGGCAGTCTCCGTGTTCCCTCCTTTATCCGAGTTTGTTATCTCCCTAAAGGTGTTGGTTATAGAGAGAACCTCGTGATATATGAGGGCCCATTCCGCAGCGTATTCCTGTTTCCTAGTCTGCCCTATGATTCCGTGTGAACTCTTTGAACTACGTTGTATTGTTTGTTCAAGAGCAAGATCTGGCGACACTGCGTTAAATGAGCCCGAGGTTCTTTTTACTACAAAATACTTTTTCAAAAAGGAGTCATATAACTCTGGATGAGTGTGCTTGACATTTTTAAGAAGCTCCAAGTAAAAGGAACCGTATCTCAAATAGTTTTGTAACGTCGGATGTTCTTGATTTGGCTCGTAAGGTCAACAAATCAATCATTTTCAGTAGTACAGTTGTGGAAAATGTCTCTAAACCAGCACTCCATCTTAATGAACTGGGTAATGTACAACAAATTGATCAGCTGAACCTCAAATACGAAGAAGCAGACCTCAGGATAATACCACATATTGCATGGGACATAACTATGTTTTCAAGGTCTCGTATCACAGTGATATCAGAGGATACTGATGTACTGGTGCTGTTGTTACACTACTTTGAAAAATTTCATAGTCTTGGGTTACAGAACTTATTCTTGCAGCTTGGTTAAGGTGAGAAGCGAAGGATGTTGCCAGTGCACATAATGTTTGAAAGATTCGGAAAAAGACTTTTGTCAAGAAATTCTCAGTGCACATCTAGCAACAGGATCTGATCACCTAAGCAAAGTGGGGTCAAAGAGATGTGCACTGACTGCTGACCCGGAAAAAAGTCTGCGCAGTTTTGGCAAAACAGCAACTTTAGACGAGGAGCAACTAAAGGTCGCAGAAGAATATCTTGTAAACGTTTTATCAGCTTCAAATGGAGTCAAAACATTTGATGAGCTGAGACTTCAGGTTCACAAGAAAACTGGTTTTGCTCTTGGTCTTCCTCCAACCTCTTATTCTATTAGGAATGGGCATATAAGACGATGCAGATGGTGGTACCTTTTGAAAGAAAGTTCCAATCTTTTAACACCAGAACATGAACGCTGTACCCTTAATGCTCTTGAATATGGCTGGGCAGATCAGGAGGGCGACCTTTATGCCAACAAGGAACTTCACCTCATTCCTGATGAACTTTGCAACACTTGCCGATGTAAAACTGGATGCAAAACTAAACATTGTTCTTGTGTTAAAGCGGAGGGGTCAAAATGTTCAGACTTTTGCCTTTGCATTAATTGCGAAAATAAATGACCATACCTATGATTTTATTGATTTTTATCATTAATATCCATTATGTTTAAATATTATATTATTTTGATGCAACCTATTTCAAAAACCTGTTTCAATTTAGTTCTGTGTGGCATTTTCGTGCAATAGACGTAACCAATCGATTTCCTGTGCCAAAAAAACAACGATTTCAACACCCAACTTGTCCAAGAAAATCACTTAAATTTATGGGAATTTTGAGGCTCAATTGTGAATATGGGCGTGGTCATCTCATCAGGGAGTGGCCTGAGAGTCAAATATACATCGCCAATCGATTTCCCGAGCCAAAAAACTTTGGTTTCGACACCCAATTTGTCCAAGAAAATCACTTACATTTTTTGGAATTTTGAAGCTCGATTGTGAATATGGGCGTGGTTATCTTATCAGGGAGTGGTCTGAGAGTCAAATTGACATCACCAATCGATTTCCCGAGCCAAAAAACATTGGTTTGGATACCCTATATGCTTTAATTATAAGAATATGAATTTATTTCAGGAACATGTAAGATTTTCCCACGATCGTATAAAAGGGCGTGGCCACACACTTCATAGACACAGAAATTTAATTTCCACCCAAATTTTTTTTGATCTTTAAACCCTACTGGAGCCAAATAACATCACAAACCTACTATACTCAAATGATTGTGCGGATTTTTGGTCAGATACAGGATTAAGTACTATAAGTTAAATAAGTTATTGAATAATTAACAGCAGCGTATCAGTACTATAAGGTAAATAAGTTATTGAATAATTAGCAGCAGCGTAGCAGTAATATAAGTTAAATAAGTTATTGAATAATTAGCAGCGGTGGAGCAGTAATATAAGTTAAATAAGTTATTGAATAATTAGCAGCAGCGTAGCAGTAATATAAGTTAAATAAGTTATTGAATAATTAGCAGCAGCGTATCAGTACTATAAGTTAAATAAGTTATTGAATAATTAGCAGCAGCGGAGCAGTACTATAAGTTAAATAAGTTATTGAATAATTAGCAGCAGCGTATCAGTACTATAAGTTAAATAAGTTATTGAATAATTAGCAGCAGCGTAGCAGTACTATAAGGTAAATAAGTTATTGAATAATTAGCAGCAGCGTAGCAGTACTATAAGTTAAATAAGTTATTGAATAATTAGCAGCAGCGTAGCAGTACTATAAGTTAAATAAGTTATTGAATAATTAGCAGCAGCGGAGCAGTACTATAAGTTAAATAAGTTATTGAATAATTAGCAGCAGCGTAGCAGTAATATAAGTTAAATAAGTTATTAAATAATTAGCAGCAGCGGAGCAGTCTGAGTATGGACACATGCAGATTTACTTGTGCTCAGTGCTACTGGTCGTAAGGAACAACTGCGTCGCTTCTAGTTGGATTACCCGAGTTTTCCTCAGCAAAGTTGTAGTTTTCAGCCAGAGTCTGTCGTTTCCGATGCTTCAGCTCTTGCTGATGGAAAAACTGCGTTAAAAATAGATCCTGGCGATTTTACAAGCCTTTATTGCTTTAAAGAGTAACTGCATTGATCAAGCTTTAACCAGGCTCTAGTTTGTTGGATTTTCATTTGTTTTATGACTAAATTTTCCGCCCATTAATGTAAAAGTAAATGTTATGTAACTCAAGTCAAACATTCTGATAAGCACTCACCCATATAAAAGAGGGTCTTATCTGTTGTCTCATATCAGCACCGCAGGAGTAGAGTAGAGTATTTACGGCACCTAGTAGAGGAGCGGACATGCTTGCCAGCAAGACCAGCGGGAAAGATGTCTGGTCGTTTAGAGCCATTTGTATCCTGAAATTAGCACAAATGATACTTCGCAAATTTTGTTCATCCTAAATAGGAATTCAGGCCACGTTTCTGAACTGTAAATAATCAGGATAAGACCAACCTGGTGATGAGAGGACATACAGAGATGATGATAAAGACTAGCGGATACAAGAACAGAACTCGGACTTCCCGCCATTTTCTGGACTTGGCATCCTCTTCTTCTGGGTTATATGCTGCATACGTTCGATTCTGAGGTAGAGAGTTTAGGGATTGCAATGCTTCTAGTTAGATCATAGTTATAACTCTGAGTTTGGCTTCTAGGCGTTTCCGCTGTTCTTCAACAATTGTATTACAATATGTAAACAATTAATGTGGAAGTGCATTTGTATCGTGCCCGCGTCGACCCGCTCAAAGTCGGATCCAAAAGTATAAGAATATAAACTCGCGTGTTTTGCGTGGGGATAGCAAAAATAAAGCTAGCGCGCGCTACATAACTTAAATTGAGAAGACCTTCAATTTACCGCCAAACTAAGTGGCAAATAATTGAATACAATCATGACGATGAAAAGGAAACAGAAACGAAACCCTAGATACCTGTCGCTTGGTGTGTACTCGCAGATATATCAGCATGACAGTGAGCGTGATTACAATCGCCATAACTGGACCGTACCAAACTAAAAACCTCAGCGTTTGTTCCATCTTGGTGTCTCCTTTTATCCAACTAAATAGATAACAATTTTATCGAATGTACAGTTCTTCCAAACAAACCTTCCAATTTCAGGTAATACATACATAACATAGTATTAAATCATCTCAAGTATATGATTAGACCGTTACTTACCACCAGGGACCAGAGTGCCCGTAAGCGTCCCAAATAAAAGGAATTCCCGCCACAATGCCAGGCAGAAACCAGCAAGCCAAGTGAAATAATGACTCGGAGGACTCGAAGCTTAGCTCTTCTTTTACAAGACGATACATGTTGGCTGTTATTACAATTATCCAGGCTACACACGTCCAGTCGAAATATGTCATCAGGAATCCCTGAGTTGAGTGAGTATGGAGAAATGAGTTTCAAATTTGTAAAAACAATAGAATGATCGGCGAATTCAGCTTTTTAAGATTGTTCAATAAATGTGAAGTGTGAACTGTTAACAAATAACAAAAACTAGAAATCTTTAATAATGATCCGATAAATCTCATAATTACCTGAAATTTGCACCCGAAAGGATTAGCAATAGTGCCCATCATGTAAGGAACTGAGTCACAAAGCGTAGCTATGCTCAGGTAAAGGATTAGGCGCTGTGAGAAGAATAGATACTTCTTGAACAGCCATATCACGAATATCACAAACAAACTGAAATTATGTTACTTTATTTTAGGGGTTTGAAAGAGCGATTTGAAGCAGATGAGCTTAGTTTTTCACATAGGGATATTTACTATGCATTTAAGGCATTGTAAGGGGTAAAGGGGAGGCGGATAAAAATAAATATTTAGCATACCTCAGAACAAAGGAGGACGTGCCAAACAGAACTCTGATAATTGTCAGGGTTTGCTGAAATCACACGTAACATGTTAAAAACCATACATTTTCCACACATTTGAAATTACCCCATTACTTTACGTGTTCAACCTCAGAAAAAATGCTCATAAAATTTTGAAGGACTCTTAAATCTAACAAATCGCAATATTAACACGTGATGCACAAATAAGGCAAATTGCAATACTATTACTAACACATCTAGAGTCGTCCTCGTTTGGACATTTGGACAACCAATCTCGAGCCATCCCTCACTGCTTTATTATCAATAATCTTCCATTGTTTACTTTACCATTATGCTGGGCTAGAACAGGAGAATATTAAAGATAATTCTGCACATACAAAAATAATTAAAAAACATAATGACGTTACAAACCCTGTATTATTCCTGTCAAGGCCAAGATGCGGTTTGTAATTCATAAAAAGTAGTATGAAATTAAAGGTTGATAATTCATAATTTGTGAAGTAACAATGTTAAGATTTAACAGCAATCAAGGTGTGAGCGATCCAACTTTTAACATGCAATCTAAAATAAGAAATGTAGAACAACTATATAATAGAAACATCATAATGAGACATGATCGGAAAGTATTTTACGAATAACAAAAAATAAACAATAAAAAAAGATTAACGATCTTCTCCCTAAAATTCGATACAATCATACACAACATATAGAAGCTCAAGAATAAGTAATACGGCTTTTTCCTCTATACTGTCGACATTTCGCAACACAGCTCAGTTCTGACGAAGCCTTTCTGCGTAAGGTTGACAGTTTATAAATTTCGGGGGCGAAAAGCTTCAAAAGCGATCGTACTTGAATTTGTCTCTCTAAATCGATCATCGTACTTGAATTCTCCAAATTAGGGCAAACGAAACTGTACGTCCAATTTTTTAGACAATCGGTGATCGAGTTGCTAGGGTCACAATATGGCAATGATGACTTATAAGACTTCAAATGAACCAGTTTTAGAAAAATATATAAGGCATGATTTTCGTGTGGTCCGAGATGACCTATTGCCCATTAATTATGTGAAACCTAAACAATATCAGCTACTTGTATCGTATGTACTCTGATCCCGTGTTCACTTTGTAGGATGATTAGTTTGGTGTGGCTGGTACCGTAGTTATTGGGGGAGATAAAATGGGACCACTGTTAATCTAGAATATTTCTCAGGTTGGGAGGCGGCCATTTTCTGTGCTTCTATTGGTCTCCAACTTCTTTAGCTTGCGTTTCTCCTGTGAAGCACGACATTGAAATGTTCTTGTATTGATACAGTCTCAAGATTAAAAAGGAAGATTCCAGAACATTAGGAATAATAAGCCATCATAACTGCACAATCTGGAATCTTCCAAAGCTAGATCATAATATGTACATTTAATTGTACTACCCGTAATGTATAACAGGGGGGGGGGGGGGCAAAAGTCAGTACCCATACGTTGGCCTTAATAGCTCAGTCACTGAGTGCACAATTGAAATAATTCTTTTTGGTATGACTTACTACCACCACTGGTTCGAGGAATTTGTCAAATCGAAAAATATTCGTGTTCATGTTTTTCAAATGAAGGTTCATTTTCGCATTTATTTTAAAGTTTGGATAGTCAGATCGAGCCAAATGTTATTGAATGGTGTTTGGTCATTTAAATTACGTTTGTCCTGCCCCCCGTGTCTAGAGATTGATCAATCTCAGCAAGATTTTTATTAACTTTTATATACAGACAGATGCAATGACAGATGAAACGACTAAGTGAATTATTAACCTTTTACATTGTTAGCTCTTGATCTCCTGAACAAGGATAGGAGGATGCAGCGCCTTCTTGTGTTGGTCAATAATATTCCTTGTTGGCAGCTCTACTCCAAACTTGAGCAGAAATAACCGGAGCTCAGTCCAGCTACGTGAGCTGTGAGTGCTGTTGAAAAAAAATCCCAAGCTGTCCTCAATTGGAATCTCAACCTTGATGGTTCTCGCCTTCTTCTGGCATCTTCGGCCCATCAGCTCCATGACCTCCTCTATTGAAACTCCTTGTTCTGCAGCAAACTGCATCAGCTCATCAATCTTCGGCTGTATAATCTGATTCACTGTTCGCCTTTTTGGCAGGTCTGATAGTCTCAATTTTGGTCGACCCAACACAGCAGGTGATTCTTCAGACTCCAAATTTGTGGTGCATGTGCTTTGTATGAAAGGTTTCACACTCCAGTCAGTGTACTTGGCAGATCCTTTCTTGTATTTGGGTCGTGATGACTTTAGCCGCTGGAGTTTTGCTTTAACAGCATTTTCAGTCCCGATTTCTTCCCCAAATCTTGAAATGAAATCTCGTGCAAGATCAGCAAGAGATGTTGTCTCCAGTAGTTTGATAGCATCACCATTCGATATGTTCATAACTGTAGCTACTGTTTTCTATTGCATAAGAAACGTAACTGTAAATAAAAGATGTACTAAAAATTATCACAAGAGTCTCTCTTACTTGATGAATGACAGAAGGAGGAGATTCATTCAATCCATGGAGTTCCAGATTCTATTTTTGTGCAATGATTTGCGCCATTTAAACATTTAAATAAGTCAGTTCACTGTTCACTATACTGCAAAACGTAAGATCACGTTTGTTTTTACTTATCCGCCGTTGAACGGTGTGAGTACTTACAGTATTTAAACCTGGTGAAGACTGAAGACCGATAGTTATATCACTTCTGTTTGAAAGGAGCATTCCAGTGGGCATACAGTGTATGCCATACACAAGTGTAAGTTTAGGTAAAATAATTAAGTCGAATAGAATGCTTGTGAACATTTTTTTTAAATAAGTTACCTTATTACACAATATGATGTACTATAATTATCGAATAACTTAACTAAATATACAACTTCTTTAAATTAAAAATATCATGTTCTACAGCAAATAAATCAATCTTCTTTAAAAATTTCTTAAAATGAAAATCAATCAAAGAATGCTAAGAACAACATTCAAAAAGCACTAAACAATTCAAAATTAATCTCATCAAGTGACATAACCATCAGATTAAGTATTATGTACCACGTGACATTATGTACCACGTGACATTTCACCCGACCTCTTTAAACAACTGATTGTCAGTATCGACAGGCCACTTGTTACCATGGGTATCCAACTGAGAGTACTTAAGATCAGCTATCCATGGTTTATCTGTCTTACTGTATGGTCTAGGAGGAAGACTATACGGAACTAGCACCCCACAACTATCATCCTTGTTGTAAACTTTCTGAGGGTCCCCCTTCACAAACAAAACTCCCAGCTCGTAACTCCGAATTCTGAACCTCCCATCATCTAACAACTGACCCCAGGCAGCTTTAGAAAGATTAGCACTGGTTAACAGAAACCAAGCAGCACTCTTCATGTCAGGTGAGAGTCGAGTGTAGGATTTAATATGGGGCACAACACGTGACCGCCCATGTGACTTACTCTCCCAGTGACACATGTGGTTCCGTAACCAGGACTGTCGGCGGTGTGTTGCTAGGTGATACGGCACGCTGGCTCCCCCGCAGTAACCTGGTGTAGATTGTTGTGTAGAATATTTTAATAGTATAGAATTTTATATAATTTTTAAGAATATAACAAGATATATTTTATAGTTTTAAACTAATTATTATTACAACGCTACAAATCTATTACATTTATTGAGTATTATGTAACGCGATGGAAATATTTTAATAAGCGGGTAATATCCTGTCCAAACCCAGGATACATAACATGAAGACTTTGTTGTAACTTGTTTGAAAATCATTAATACAATATAGCTAAAAGTTAAAAATACTGTAGTTCCAATATTCTAGAATATTCTACGACAGTCTAGAATATCATATGGTGAATAATAGAATGTTTGTAAGTTGAAAAAGATTTATGAATGGATAAAACAATAAACTATACAGTGCAGTATACAGTACCACTCAGATCTGTACATAATTGAGAATTGAGACCTGCCTAGGCCAGCCTGTTTGGCAGTGAAAATTATCAAACCTAAATAAAAATCTTACCTTCCAGACTGTTCCGTATCATATCAACTGTGGGGAACACCAACTGAAACAGAGCCTGCCTACTATTGTCCACACCACTATTTGTGGTTTGCAGAGCCCTCACAAACTTATCAAACCACTCCGAGGCTGTTGATCCGAGAGAGCCAATACTCGAACAATTTGCAACAATCCTCCATCCAGGCCTGACTTTGCTGTCTTCCACATACAACGACAACAACTTTTGTAATCTCAGAGTACCATAGAGCGAGTCATTATGCATTCCTGGAATACCTCCAACAAGTTTCACTTGTGTAACTCCTGTCATATCGTACTTCTTCAAAATCCTAATAAGCTGATCTGTCGCGGACGTACTGTACGAACCCAAATACTTCAATAAATACGAGTTGAATCTCAGACAGTCCGGATCATCTGAAGTATCATTCTGTTCCCCTTCTGGGAGTAGCGGACACAGAGGACTGATCCATACCCCCTGACTCTTGACACTCCAGTCTACTTGTATTAAGTTAGCAGTGTGTACTATAACTCTGATCCCGTGCTCACTTTGTAGGATCATCAGTTTGGTGTGGTGGGTACCGTAGGCTAGGGGAAGTGACGCCGGGACTACTATTATACGGGAGTATTTCTTGGGTTGGGAGGTGGTCTTTTTCTGCTGCATTATTTGGTTCTGCACTTCAGCTGCTTGTTTTTCTCCTGTCAAGGAATAATTTATATTTGGGCTATAAATCTCTAAAAACCAACAAGTTTGAATTATGACTAACTCTGAATTTCCACTATTTCCTCCTATCCACGGAATCCTTAAATCCTAGTTCTACCAACCTAAAAACAAGAATATGGGTCCCTCAGCCGCGTTCTCAGGATACTCCTCTAGCAACCAATCCAGGTCCACTACATACGTAAACTGCCAGGTTTTAGTCAGCCTACCATCTAGTGAGAGAATATCTCTGAAACTTAAGGCTATGTCGTCGGAGAACTTGTCAGGGTGGCCCACTACTTTAGTGAAGTAATATCTGTCGTGTTGGATCGTTTGAGTGATTCTGCGCCGCTTCCTGACTCCTGTTTGTATTGAGAAAAAGGTTCAGCTAAAAACATGTTAATTAGAAATTTTAAGTCTCAGCAATAAAAAAGCGTTTTATCATTATAATCTGTATTCCTGATCTTCGTTTTTATAGAACAATAAACTACGAAATATTAATTTTAAATAATTGGCATACCAGGGCTGGGCTGTGGTAACCGGGTTGAGGGATCCAACTCCCAACGCTTTATTTCCTCTGAAACAATTGAAAGTAGTGCTTGAGATTATGTGACTTTCGTATTTCAAATGTAATGAAACATTAGCAGGCATTATGAGAGTGAGCATGAGGTCAAGAATGCAATATACATTATACAATATATATAATACAATATACATGACGCAAAAGTATTAGGGAAATAGAAGACAGATAATACGATAAAATGAAAACCAATACCTGAAATCAGGTTTCTTTTGCCGGAAGATGAACTCGAACCACCAATGCCTTGAGGATTTACAGTTATTGATTTGGTAGAAGCATCGGCAGCGAGCGTTGCTTTTTTAGTAATGGAATGTGACGAATTATCTAATTCCCACCGCTTTATCTCTTCTAAAATGAATCTAATGCAGAGTCCGGTAGCTTTCGTTATTTTAATATGCAGTTTGCAGACAGAAACTAGCCTATTCCATGATACGTGGGACAGTAATAGCAGAAGCAGTAATAAGAGAATGCACTTGAGCATTCCATTCTATATTTATAGGTCTACCTAAAAATGTAAGATAAAACGAAGAACAATACCTGAAATTGGGCTTGTTTTTACGGAAGTTGAACTACCACTCCTCCCCGAAGTTATTGACTTAGTAGAAGTAGCAGTAGATAGCTTGGTTTTGTCAGGCCCCCTTTGTCCAGCAACAGGGTTGGAACTTGGAGGTAATTTGTCAGATTTACGAGCTATACTACCAGGAGTAGTAACCCCTTTCTTTGAGGAAGAACTTGGTGATGCTGCCGGTTTGGAGATATCAAACGGGTGGAGGTATTGAGATAGGTGGTCTTTGTTCTTTCTGAAGCAGTTCCCCCAATACTTACAGCGCTCTTTTGGTGAGGAACTCATGGATCTATTAACTTAATAATTGGGTTAGTCGCTAGTTAACAGTTGAGTCGAGTTGATAATTTCAATATGTTTGATGTTTGGGCAAGTAATGAAAACACGATAAGAGTGAAGACACATAGTTATTTTAGTCACATTTTATAAAACATTATAGATCACATTTCATTAAATATGTAACATAAAACTAAATGTAATTAACTAAATAACATGATACTGAGCTACTTCAAATTTATTATAGGTTATCAAAAGTATCAAAAACATATTAAAAATGTAACTTTAATCGAAGATAATTATTATAAAATGCATGGTTCTGTATAAACCTACTAAATCAGGTGAAAATTAAAAGTATTTGATTTGAATTATTCACAAAAACTATTAATCAAACATCATAGAACTGAATAATGAATAGTTGTATAAAATCTGATAAAAACCGTACAAGAATCGTCCTCTGAAAAAATATCGCTAATTTATGCATGATAACGTACAAAAAATGATTTAAATAAATCTGTATAATACATCTGCATCAGCAATATAAACGTTTAATTAAACAAAAAATGTGCATTGAGTTCTGATTTGTGGCCTTTTTATGTATAACCGCAGCTTTCATATTCATTTCACAATGCACATAATACATCAGTAATGCTTGTGGTGAGCTAGAACGCCTGAATAGCGTCGAGGAATAAAGCGTACGTCTTTGACCGTACCTAAATGAAATAATAATTAGGCTTTAATGTAGAGAAGAAGGAATTTAAAGAAAGATTTTAGTTGAATAGTAATCCAACTCTTAAAAACCTATCCTGTATCAGATATCAAATTAACAATTTCAAACATATTACCTTCCACACATCTTTTAACAGTCCATGACAGGAATTCTGCACCTCGTGAAGGGTGACTAGGTCAGGGCGTGCAGCACTGAGAGCACGTGATCCCTCTATCTTACACAACATGTCATCAGGGCAGTGGAGTACTACTGTCCGGGTGTAGTGATGTTTCCACAGGTCTCGACTCTGAGTGTTATGTTTATGAAGGAGTACTCTGTGGTGACACATGTTAGGTAAACAATAATAATGTTTTTAGTTGACTAGATTAAATAATAAATACTGGTGAGTATAAGTTTTGTTGTGGTGTTATATATTATTAGACTTCAATTTATTATTATCGTTAATGATACATTGAACTTCAATAACGCTACTTTTAAGATAACACTTATTCTCAGCAGTGTTTAAACTGTCATCCCAGATAATAACTTGAATAGTAGGTAAGGACTGGTAACGTTTGCTAGAAATTAATGTAGAATATTAACAATTATTCCATACAAGGGAACGTATCAACTTTTGCTTTTAGGTATGATTGCACAGTGGAGAATAAATTCCAACTATTTACATTTTACATACAGTGCAGCTTGAGTGTTTTTAGCAAAACTAAATTTATTTCTTGAAATATCTGACCTTTTCAGCTGCCTCCATTATCTTCAGGGCGTGTCCAAACCGCAGACTGCCGTGCCACATGTGCCTGTCATTCTTAGATTCCTGCTGAACGACTGGATCTCCACTGAACCATTCCGGCTTGGAGAGATCCAATGATAAGTACTGATTGGGTGCAAAGTAGGCAAGAACAGATACCATCGATAGTAGTAGAGGAGCTGCGTTTCTGTTGACCTTATAAGGTTATTTAGGCTGTTGTGATAATTGCATATTATATTAATCTTGATTTGAAATTAAGGTGAGACGTCAATTATTCACAACTCTTGCAAATATTTATTATCGACTTTAACTTGAAATAACAATTAAATTAATATTTTCAGTAAATAAACCTCAAGAAGTGGTGCCGATAGCACAAGTCCAGTAAGTTGCACCCTGTTTGAAACACGAAATGCTACAAGACCACCCATGCTATGACCCAAAAGTACCACTTTCTTATACTGTGGATTCTTTGTTTTTATTGCATGTATCTCGTTTATAACTTCGTCTACATAATCATCAAATATTTCACAATGAGCCTGAAAATAGAACCATGAAACCTGCTGGTTCTCCTCCAAACATCCAGTGAAGACTGAGAGACTGCATTAATTATGCTAATACCAATACTAAGTAAAACAGAGCTGAGAGAGCTACTTACCATCATTCCATTTACCGGACCGCTCTTTCCAAAACCCAGCATATCATGAGCGTAGAAAGATATCCCATGTTTGTTCAAATAGTCTGCAAACTCCAGGTATCTACCAGCCCGGTCCCCGTATCCGTGCACAAAGTACACCATATTAGTGGCACCCTCAACAGGGTAGGCATATCTTTCTGTTTCATGCATTCACATTCACAACTCCAACTACTTAGTACTTAGTATATATGCATTTAGGTACATTATAATAAACAGTTCGATGAATAAATTAGTTTCAATGTCATGTTGTGAGCAAATTAATAGGAGGTTCCAGAATTATGCAAATAATATGTACTATTTTCGGAGTCTACATCATGAAATGGTTCAAACAATTTGTTACTGCATGATACAAAAGATGTTTATGTTATTTTGTACATTGAACAAAAAGCAATTCCCTACAGTAGTACTCTACTATTTAGAATTTTACGTAGATTTTCTTAGCATAGCTGGAAACTCTCATGCATAGAAATATACTGGAAAACTCTGAATTTAAAAATCTATAAATAGACTTTATAGTTAGTCTATTGATCATCGGATATAATCAATTAATGCCATTTGCCACGTGTTCAAATTGTGTTACGCAGGTTGAAATATTTAAATCATTAAATAGCACTGAATCTAAAACAATCAACATAATACATTATAATAATTACCAAAATTGTGTTAAAGTTTCTTCTACTTCTGAATAACAAAGAATCAAAATCTGATATATAAAGAAAGGAATTTTACGTCAAAGTGTTCACTCTCCTTTGTTATCAACAGTGGATAGCTCTACAATTTTCTCATAAACATCATTCATAACTTTCTCTGTATCCTGAAATTCGTTGCGATTAAATTTTGTTTGTAAACTTGGCAATGAGCCCACAGTTTAAGTTGAGGTTGAGGAGGTAATTCAAGTTGAGGTTCATAAGCTAAAGTTATTTCAGATAAATCAACAGAACTAGATACATGGATCAATGGAATTTCACGTGAATAATAAAATTGTTATTTAAAGTTACCTCAGGCATGAGATGAAGTAAACTGTGGTAGGGATATTCATAGCGGACCATTTTTACCAAATCAGGTTTTGTCTCAGCTAACTTTAGCGATCCAGAATAGTCACAAACATCATCAAACTCGCTATGAAATATGTATGTAGGAGTAGAGTATTCGTCAAATTTGGCATTAGTTTCGTCCACAGCATTAAACATGGCAACAGCAAATCCTGCTCTAACTCCATAATGCCATAGCAAAGGGTCGGCGGCATCCTTTTCTCGTTGTTCCATATTTGGTGTTAATTTATTTCTATCAAGTGAATTCCATGGCATGTAAAATGTCGGAGCCAAGCCAGATAGACCCCAAGCGAAATTTTTCATAAATGGTGAAACACTATCATGTATCTGCGAAAAATACAACGAATAAATTATTGTAAGGTTATTAATGGGATTAATAATATGAATCTGAAACTTAATAAAGTTCATAATAAAAATGCGTGCATTGTTACATTTATGCTAACTCTAAGATTAACCAAATTCAGTAAAAATGACTGAGTTTTACAACTGAAATAGTAATAACAGTAGTTCACCTTGAGGCAAGGGGCCGAGAGACATGCACCAGAAATAAGATCAGGACGTTTCAGGGCCACCATCACAGCTATCAGACCGCCCATACTGTGCCCCATTATGATGATGGGAGTATCTGGTTTTTCCTTCTTAACATTTTCTATCTCTTTTATGGTGTCATCAGCAAAAGTATCTAAGTTTTTAATGTAAGCCTGAGAATATAATTTTGTCACTTAATCACAGTCAAACAAAAATGTCAATCAAACAAAAAAATTGTATTTTATGCCATTCATTACAGATAAAACTAGATTCAAAACAAATCAATTTGATATTTAAAGGAAGCCTAATGTGCAGTACAGATTAACTCATTAACAAAGTCAATTAGTAGCAGTTATTGCATCACTGCATAAAAACTGACATGACATCTTTTATTATTCGATAAAAGGTTTTGAAATGGGATTGTGAAAAGCAATCACCCAGATCTCACTTTCCCTAAGAACCTACCCTGGTGCCAAGCTCCGTTTTTCCATGTCCACGTTGATCGTGAGAGTAGAAGGAAATGTTTCTATCAACAAGAAAATCCTTTAAATCTAGCCACCTCCCAAAGTGATCGGCAAGACCATGCAAAAAGTATAAGACAGCAACTTCATTTTCAGCATCATGTCTGCATCTGTGAAACAACTTGAGCTCATCCATTATGTAACTATTATAAAATTAGAGATAAATAGCATTAAATATAGCATTGACATTCCAAATACTTAATTGGGAAGTAAAAGACGATAAAGAAGTCAAGAGGACAGTATTTCGAATGAATAGGCCATAAAATTAGGTGGCAAAACTTCAGTCGCATTTGCAACCCTCTACATGCACTGAGGTTATAATCAGGAGAAAGCACCGGGAGAAGTTGAAGTTGAATGCTCAAATCAATCATATTAAATCCTAACTGAAACGAAACAGTAAGAAAATACAAGTCTTCAAGCATTATTGATCATGCATATCAAACATTGTATAATTATACAGGTAATTTCAATCATTTTCATTGTTCAGCTGTAAGGTTAGACACCCTTAAGATATAAAAACCAATTTTTAAATAAAACATTAAACAATTTTTAAAATCAGGGTAGAATATTATATAAACCCCCATGCAGCCCATTGAACATTTTTTTTAATTAAGAAACAATATATAAAAAATATCTAACAATATCGAAAACATATCTAACAATTTCAAAAATTGTGATTTCTAATCTACTTCTGAATACCAAAAAAACAATCTCGAAAGTCTGATAAAGAAAGGAATTTTATATCATAATTATAGTGGTTGCTGTCCTTAATTATCAACAATGGATAAGCTCTATTATTTTCTCATAAACATCATTCATAACTTTCTCTGTATCCTGAAATTTGTTAAGGTTACATTTTGTTTGTAAACTGGGCAATGAGCTCACAGTTTAAGTTGAGGTTGAGGAGGAGGATACATGCATCAATGGAATTTCACATTCGAATATTTATTCAGCTGAAACTAAAATTATTATTTAAAGTTACCTCAGGCATTAGATGAAACAAACTGTGGTAGGGATATTCATAGCGGACCATTTTTACCAAATCAGGTTTTGACTCAGCTAACTTCAGCGATCCAGAGTAGTCACACAAACCATCAAACTGGCTATGAAATATGTATGTAGGGGTAGAATATTCGCTAAATTTGGCATTAGTTTCATCTGCAGCTTTAAACAAGGCAACAGCAAATCCTGCTCTTACTCCATAGTGCCATAGCAAAGGGTCCCCAGCATCCTTTTCTCGTTGTTCCATATTTGGTGTTAATATATCTCTATCAAGTGATTTCCATGGCATGTAAAATGTCGGAGCCAAACAAAATACACCCCAAGCTATCTTTTTCATAAATGGTGAGACACTATCATGTATCTGCAAAAATACAATAAATAAATAACTGTTAGTATTTTAATGGGATTAACAATGAATTTGAAACTTGATGAAATTCACACTAAAAATGTATACAGAAATGACAAAAGTAGTAGAAGTTTATCTTGAGGCAAGGGGCCGAGAGACATGCACCAGAAATAAGGTCAGGACGTTTCAGGGCCACCATCACTGCTATCAGACCGCCCATACTGTGCCCCATTATGATGATGGGAGTATCTGGTTTTTCCTTCTTCACATCTTCTATCTCTTTTATAGTGTCATCAGCAAAAGTGTCCAAGTTTTCAATGTAAGCCTGAGGATTTTTTAATGAAGCATAATGTGCAGTACAGATTAACACAGTGTATTAGTACTAGTAGTTACTAAATAGCCGCTACATAAACACTGAAGTGACAACTTTTATTGTTTAATGAGAGGTTTTGAAATGGGATTGATCACCCAGATCTTGTCTATCCCTAAAAGAATACAAATTTTAAGGAATACAAATTTGAATTTTGATATTTGTTACAGATTAAACATATCATAGATAACCATAAAAGCCACACGTCAGCTGATTGCCTCAACTTGGATTAATAATAATTACAATCGACAGAAGCTGAAGGATGGCAGCTCAAAACTCAAAGGGCCCAATGCACCATAGACAAGAACACGGACTCGAGTGCCAATAAGGGCTTTTCTGAACCCCTTTTTGCCGATTGGCCCAGTGGACCTAGTGAGCTGCACCCTACTGCTAAACGGCACATAGTGGTTTGTGTTTTAATACTTATTAATTAAAACAATTATTCAGTTGATGGTTGTTAAATAATAAAACTTTAAACTGTCTTTTTGTCCGTTATATTGTTCCATGCATTGTAATATAACCATAATTTGATAAAAACCTACCCTGATGCCAAGCTCAGTTTTTCCATGTCCACGTTGATCGTGAGAGTAAAAGGAAATGTTCCTTTCAACAAGAAAATCCTTTAAATGTAGCCACCTTCCAAGGTGATCAACAAGACCATGCAAAAAGTACAAGACAGCAACTTCATTTTCAGCATCATATCTGCATCTGTGAAACAACCTGAGCTCATCCATTATGTAGCTGTTATAAAAGAAGCCTTGACATTCCAATTATTTAATTAGGAAATATTAGGAAATATTAAATGAATTTAAATGCCTTCAGTGCTATTCTTCGTGTGGTTCTGAAAATTATTGGGGTGGAGGTAGCTTTTTCTACATCCATGATCCAGGACTCTTTATAGTTATCTCAATGATGTAAACACTATTATATATCGTAACATGGAATAGCGTTGCGCTCGATTTTTTAAGTATAATAATGGAAGATAGCGGAAATATTTGACACACGCTGCCACCCCTTTTGATCGCACGACCGGAGTGCATGTTTCGCCACAAAAGAGGTATCCAACGTCCATCAAGGAAATATGCACGGCGTTCTTCATCAGGTCAAGTCTTGGTTTTGTTTTATTAACCATTTACCCAATTTACTGGTTTATGGCTCACTTTTCCTAAAAGACTTTTAACAACAAATTTTTATTTAACTTAGCATAATTGTTTTGTTTTTTTGTATAATTCGATTCGCTCCCACTGAATCGCTTGCCCACATTTTAAGAAATCCTTGAGAAAAGAGAAAAGACAATTTTTTTTGAGAAAAGACAATTTGTAATTTATCACCAATTCAATATACAATCAATTTGTAGCGCGATGCACTACTGGGTCGCGCGCGCATCAAATAATGCTTCTCGCTTCGGTAGATCGGCGAGATGCACCACTGTGCCTCACCGAGCTGCGAAGGATTGACATCGTGAATCAAACAATCAATAAATATATATACATCCGAATAAATTTGATTTAAAATTAAATGACACAAGTATACTAGCAGCTAGTGCGCTAGTATTTAATCAATATACACGTTGATTGACGATGTCAACCCATGATCGAGATCGTTGCTTTGCTGTCTGCGAAGCAGAGCAACGATCGACGAAGCAAGAATGCTAGTTCGCGCGGCGCGTTGAAGCGGCGAAGTCCTCCACATATACACGCTGTATAAAAAGGCCCTGAACTGAGAGTATGTAATTAAAATCATTTGAATCGGTGTGTTCTTAAACGCTGATTCCGAATCACCCCCATGACGTAGGGTCAAAATGCATCCCTGGGGATTTGTTATATGGCGCACAGGTTAGGATAAGGGTTAAAGGATAGCTTTGGGGTTATTATAATATGGTTTGCGTTTGGGTTGGGATAAGGGTTTACGTAAAACCGTTTTGTTCGGCTGCAAAATCATGAAAACCAAAGTCACGTAATAATTTTTGGGCGAGGAAATAAGTAAAATAAACCAATTTGACTACCTAAATTTACGTTTAAATTTTGTATATTTGTTCTTGAAATATGAAATTTTTTAAGTGCAGTGTAATATGTAATGAATTTAATTTGTGATTGGACGTATTAATAAGTTATTTATTAAATGTAAATATTCTTTATCCAATAGTAAAACATTGTGCATTGTTAATGCAATGGACTAGCCCGGCGCGTTATTTTGATTTTGTAGCACTTAAGACTTGGGCCAACATTTCGTTAACGGCCGGTGACACTCGTAAAATATTGAGTCCAACTCGGGCGCGTCCTGAATGGTTATAAACCTACAAACATTTCGAGAAAAGTTGATTGACGATGTCAATCCATCGAGATTGAATGCTAGTTTGCGCGGCGCGTCGAAGCGGCGAAGTCCTCGAAAGAAAAAGCGGCGCGCTACTTCGAAGAATTTTATACGAGTAACATCTGTTTAATAAAACATTGCTCCCCTGCACCTTATTGTCCCTAATTTCCCCCTGGGGCAAGTTATTTTTACAAGTGACAAGGCAAACATTTTGCAAGAAACCGGAAGTCGCTATTTCTTTTACTTTTAATTTAGGCCCTGGTCAGTTAAGTCCTGGCCACAATTAATATAAGTACACGTGCAACGTTTAGCAGCAAATAGCCACAAATAATAGCCACGAAATAACTAATTTACCAAAAAACAGTTTTTGCGATGTGAGACAAGCTAAATTTAGTACATGACATAAATATTTACACATTGGAGCTCACCCATATCATATAATATTTATACATTGTTCAATAATAAGTTACTATAATTGATTAAAGAATGGTGTCGTGATCTTAAACAATTAAGTGATATAGCATCAAGAGAACCTCAAATAGCATACAGTGCATACTTAGTAAAAGATGGAACTATGTGTGCAGAACTACCCCAGGAGTTGCAGATAGGCTCACTCCTCTGGAACAAGTAACACGCGATGAGTTTATCCCAGCTATCATCAACAGGCTGTTTAGCTGCACTGATGAACTAAGGAACATAATGGCTCTACCACCAAGATATGGAGGATTGGGTATACCAGTTATGATGGACATGGCAGACCGAGAGTACAAATTCTCATGTAGAGCCACAAAACCCCTTAAAGAAGCTATTCTCAAGCAGGTAGACAACTACACAGAGGACTGGAGAGTAAGCAAAGGAGTGAAAACTGAGATAACAACTGAAAGAAATCTCTTTCAACTACTGAAACTATATTGTTTACTATCTTATTCATTATACTGGACATGAGATGACGAAGTATCTTAAGCAGCACTTTATACCCCCACTTAGAACTTGATTAGTCACGAACAATAGAATCATCAAAAACCAATACAGTAAAACATCTTGATCAATAAATGCCTAGCAGCACCAGACAGCAGCCGTGTACCTTTTTCGACTCCTTGGAGTCCCTGATGGACTTTTGTTTACTTTTGTTTATAATCGGACCAACCTTTCTTTCTCGAAACATGTATCCTATTGTATTTCATTATAGTATTAAGATGTGAAGATATACTAGATATTACAACGAAATAGAGGTATACCAAATTGGCCCTTGATATGAACTATAACCGTGTTGATGGTTTTAAATTTTGTATGTTGTAAGCACTTTAGTTTGTGAAGCGTTTACTCCTAAATGACTATATGGAATCTAACTTGCTGCACATTAACCAAAGCAAATCGGTCTACATGTTATTCAGACCTGGCCGGTACTCATCCTGTGCACGTGCTCGTGAATATGGCTCTGAGAACTCACTCACGTTATCAGGCAACACACTTACACGAGTAGATAAAGTGAGATTCCTTGGTGTTATCATATACCATGAACTATCCTGGGAACCCCAACTAGATAACATAAAAAGTAAACTAACTACAAGTATAGCTATAATTAAACGTATTATGAAGTTTATTCCAGAAACAGAGTACCATAAGCTGTATGACTCCTTATTCAAGTCTCATATGAGCTACTGTATCAGTAGCTGGGGTGGTGTCACACCTTATAGACTATCTAAACTGTTCTCCATCCAAAAAAGATGTGTACGCCTTCTATTTGGAAGCAAACCAAGCTTTGACCGGGCAGAGTATTATGAAACATGTGCACGTGCAAGACCATACAGTGAACACATCGCAAAAAGGAGCTTTGCTTTGGAAAACACTAAGCCAATATTCAATACCGAGAAAATCATGTCAATCCACAACCTGTACACCCAACATATATCCACTGAACTGTTTAAAATCTTGAAACTGCATCAACCTATCTCTCTGACAAGTTTATTTCAAACAAGTTCCAGAGCATGTAGCCAAACTATGCGGGTCCCCCGACACAAACTTGAAATTTCTAAACACAATTTTGTCTTCAAAGGTACGACTATATGGAACAGTTTGGTTGATAAAATATTCGACAAATGCACTCCTAATGAAAACAATGTCATGGTCCCTGGCTCTAGTAAATTTTCCGACCTTTCTTCCCCCATCTCAATTATCAAGAGCCGTATCAAAAAGCTCTTACTTGAAACCCAGCAATTGACAACACCTGGGCGTGAAATTGAGTGGCTCCCCCTAAATAGCTGGGGCATTGAACCAGCTTAGTCAATCAGCATCCCATCCCTTGCATACAACTAATTACAAAAGCGCTAATTATACCTGTTTCAAAAGCATCCTGTCTGGAAGTTCCCTGACTGCCGTGTGAATCTTTGGATCTATTTTTGGATCTATTTTTATATTGATATGATTTTTATATACCTATATATTCCTCGCATAATTTCCATGTCCGCCTGAACAAACCTGGCACCATCAAATCCTACTCTAGAAACCCCAGAACTCATCAAGCCTAGTCTGAATTCAAAACTAGTTGACCAGCTACGTACAGTTTCCTGGACAACTGGAACCTTTTGGGCCATGCACAAGCCAATAGCATGTATGGTCCTGCAGTGGGGTCTCCTTGTCCTTGGATCTGTGTTTTGATCCGTCTTTTCTTAAAATTTTCCATTTGTGTCACTTAGAATCACCTTTTAAAATGTTAATCGACACCACTGGTCCTAGTTAAATTTAGCCATGGCACGACTACTCGAACGTAACAGTTAAATAGGTGTGACATACTATTGGATTCTTATAATTATATCATATGAATTGATTGCACTGCTAATAAATAAAATACTTTGTTTTACTATACTTTGTTTTACTAACGGATGCGTGCAGGGGCTGGAGTACGCTTGTATGTAAATTAATGAAATGTTGCATTGTAAATATTTAGAATTGACGATATGTTTTGATCTAAAAGTAAATTTTACAAAGCTGGCTTTGGATTTAGGTAAGATTATAATTTATTTTTTAAAAACCACGGATAATTTTAAATTTATTTCTATTTGTCGTATAATCATAAACAATTTAATCATGTTTTTAAGAATGCGCGGCTTTGGCGGCCAGTTATTGACTTATACATTAAATTGAATTTTAAATAGAAATGTGAATATATTAAAATTTAAAACTTTCAAAACGGATGCTTATAAATATTATTATATTATGATTGTAAAATAAAGGATAAAATTTTAAATTTGTTTCACTAAAATTTGTTTCACTCTTCTATCGACAAAAACAAGCGGAAATACGCCAGGAGCTCGAGTCAACACCACTGGCAAAGTTGATGTTCCAACTAGCTGCTGAGAAAGGGGCAAGTGCTTGGTTAACAGCACTACCTTTAAAAGAGTACGGATATCTGATGAACAAACAACAGTTCTCAGACGCATTAGCTCTCAGGTACAACCTGAACTTAAAGGACAGCCCTAAGACATGTACGTGTGGCCAAAAGTTCTCAGCAAACCATGCGCTTATCTGCAAACTCGGTGGATATGTGTCACTGCGGCACAACTCGCTGAGAGACACCTTTGCTGAACTAATGAGAACTGTGAAATGCAAGGATGTGCAGACTGAGCCAGTTCTTCTTCCAGTTGATGGTCTGAAGTTGCCTAAGGGAACAGTACTTGGAGACCAAGCTAGGCTGGACATTTCTGCAAGATCGATTTGGAATGCTTCAGAGAGGGCATATTTTGATGTAAGGGTATTTCATGCCCCAGCCCCCTCCAATGCAAGCAAATCGATCCCAGCAATGTACCAGTCCCATGAAAATGAGAAAAAGCGATGTTACAACGCAAGGGTTCTTGAAGTGGAGAAAGGAAGCTTCACACCTTTAGTGTTCTCGACTTCTGGTGGAATGGGTAGTGAAGCTGAAAGACTGGTAAAAAAGCTGGCCAGTAAGATGGAGTACCACACTGGCCAGAGGTACTCGGATGCTGTAGGTTACATCAGAAAGCGCCTTCGCTTTGAAATCCTAAGAACAACAGTGATTTCTCTCCGTGGAGACAGAGGTGCGAGAAAAAACATTGTTAATATAAACAGTCTAGATCTTAACTTGGAGCCACAAGGCCAAGGGTAATTTTTGAGTGCTTAGGGAATTTTGTATATTCTTAAAGGTTTGATTTTATATAGGGTCATTGCTATATTATGTGTATATTGTTTGAATAATTTTATAACTATAATTGATTTAAGAGGGTTATGTTTCAAATGTTTTTCAACAATAATTTTTAATCGTCACCTCTTTCTGTTATTGCAGATCATATTGAGTTTTAAAAAGCACTGTCTTTGTGGGATTAATAATTTTATATATTACTAATGGCTTTGGTAATGCTCCTTTTGATGATTCCAGCTGTTTTACTAATTTGTAAAGAACTTACTATACGGACCACCCGTAAAGTGAGGGTGGACAGCGCGGCCTGTCACACGATTTCAAATTTTGTTAGTATATCATATAATTTCATTAACAATATTTATTGAATCCTAAAATTTGTTTTCCTTTAATAAATATAATATAAAGGTGATGGCTGCTAAATATGTCCTCATAAGTGCATGTTAAGGAAATACAGTATCGCTGAGAGAGTGTGTCGAACTTTTACCTTAACAGTATCTATGCAGGGAAGGCGATACATTATTCTGGAGGCCAAAGTCAATGGTCTAGCTGAATATGGTTGACAAATCGGATGATTTTTTACAAAAAGGCTTACTTCGGAAAACGACATCCCTCTCTAATGGTAACAGTGGGGCTGTAATTTATGCCATACTTTAGATGTGCGTATAAATATCTTGAATTTCAAATTGAAATTCATCACCTTGTTATTTAAAATAAAGAAGCTGGTTGAAAATTCATGGTCCGACATGCACGCTGGTGTAGTAACCAAATATCTCAATAAACTTGCCTCTCTAGTGTAAAACTTGTGTTTGAAGAATGAAGATGCAGAAAACATATTTTCCTCCTTTTAGCCACCTTGTCGCAGCCTTACATATTTCTCCAGGACACTGCCTTCTAGCCAATCTCTTATATAATATCCTCTGATTTGTTTTACATGATGTGGCAGACAATGTTTGTTTTTTATAAAAACTTCTTTTGAATAATTTCCATGGCCTGAGAAGAGGAAACAGGCTGGCGCTAGCCCATGTGTCAACAATACAGTGAGTATGTGTGTTACATCCTGAATCCTCTGTTTCTTGAATCACAATGATGTGATTAAGAAAAATTGAAGGAACCAATTATGTCAATAACAAAGAAAAGCATAATGAATAGCTAAGATTTAATCCCCATGATGCCAAACAACTTTTAATTAAGTTGTTTAGTAGTGGGAAGCATGATTAGTTGGAGTCTATGTACCTAGAATTTAAGTTTAATTTAGATAGTTTTTGTAGAAACGATTTTGATGACGAGTGATGAAGTTTTATTATTTGATTTGATTTGGTGCATCATAATTCCCTTGTTTGACATATACATATTTCTTCAATTTTTGTTTATGCTGAAAAAACCAAATGGTACCCAAGTTCAGAACGAAAATCATCTTCATAACATTGTAAACGTTTGTAGCTTGAAAAGTCAAAATGTCTGACGCACCTGCAGCCACTGCCAGTGGTCATGTATCTGACGATGAAGAAATCACCCCAGGATACATAGCTCCTGCTAAGGTAAAACATCACATTCTAGATTAATAATTAATCAGCAGTGGACATTAATTGCAGTTCTCATGTACAAGTCATATCCGTTATGTTTTCACTTACTAGCAGTAAGTGCTTCTTGAATACAGGCGATGGTGCTGGTGAAATTGCAGCACAGCTATTTTTTGTACACCCTTTTGAAGATTTATGATAATTGTATCCACAGAAATCAGTAGAGGAGATTGCTGAGTTGGACAAAGATGATGAAGCTCTGGTAAAATACAAACAGGCTCTTCTTGGTGATGCTGTTGGTAAGTTCATTTCATATACTTGCGTAGAATATCCTGGTTTTCATGTCTTTTTGACAGCATATAAAAAGATATTGTCAATAAAACTCAATAAGTAAATACAATTAATAATTACCATGATAATCTTTTAGTCATCAGTGATTGAAATCAGAGGTTTTTTAATTTTGATGATTTATAAAAAATCAAATTAGCACAGTAACGATTCTATGTTTCCACATCCCCTTATATTCTATAATTCCTATATTTTGTGCCAGTTTTCCGAAAAGTGTGCAACAATTTTGTAACGGATTGTAGTGATTTACTCTAATACTGGAGATATTTGGGATATTTTAAATATTCGATGTTACGTTATTCACTGTTTACCAAATTATATTCAGATCTTCATATCTCCAAAAAAAAGAGTGGAAAATAAACTGAAGTTTAAGATTTGAAGCTAGTCCACCTCTCATTTACTTATTATGGTTAGAATCAAATACTGAGGAGTCATGATATTTGAGTACTACTTAATTTGATGTTGACAGTTTGCTAATTGCACAGTTATTAGAATCTCCGCCTACTGCACAATGCCATTGCTTTAGGCAAACATTCTTGTGCATAAAACTTATGATAATCAAATAAAAGTTACAAATATAAGAGGTGAGTGCCAAATTTGCACTAATCAAATTTTTGTCAAAGTTGCTACAGATAGTATTTTAATAGTATACTGATCTTTATAAAATTCGAAATTGTGCAATTTATTCTTTAGAATGTCTTTCCTGTGAAAGTTTTAAAAGTATCGTCCTGAATGTAATGGACTTGCAACATAGTATATACAGGCTTGCGAGCCACCCTCTAATCCTACGTGACCTCAATATTGCCTCAATATAATAATTTGTGCTGGTACTATTTAATGTACTTTACGTAAAGTAAAGTTTATGAACTGCTTAATTGTGTGACCGAATATTGATTAAACTCTGCGATATTGATTAATCAAAAAGATATAATCTGTGTAAGTTCATTAAAATTCTGAATAATTACTATTTTAACAGTTTTAGTTATCATAGCTTAGTTAAAGCTAAATGATAGAAGCGTTTTAATATTATAGCTTAATAATGGCAGAGTAGCTCAGGTGTACTAACGGAGTACTGTTAATCTATTAGAAGTTGTTTTATCTCAGTACACAAAATGAATCTGTGTAGGAAGTAAAATGAACATTCTACATCCAGAAAAGAGGGACCGGCCCAATGTATTATCTTATACAGTACTGCTCAGTAGTGATATCACCTTGTAACATGACACTCAGCTCCACTCTTACACTTTTATCTACTCAGCACTGGTTTTATCTACAACAAACCAACTGCAGTCTCCTTCGTCTCCTACTCGACGTGCGGCGTGTGCTGGTATTTCACATTCTTAAAATTCTTTTAAAAATGCCGTACATATCATGCACACACGCACACACACACACACACACACACAGGAAAGTGGAAATATGCCGAAGAATAACGAAATATGTAATTAGTACCGACGTACCTCCCGACATGACAGATGCTAGATGGTGTGTTATTAAGTTTGTGATAGCAAGTGTAATATGTCTCACACATGTGTATAGGTAGGATTATGTTATATTAGAGGGCTGTGAGGTGGTTATGTCATGGTTTTGTAAATTATAAACACTCCGTATTACACACTACTATTACACACTATTATAAACACTTATAAACACTCCGTATTAGTTATTACACACTATTGTTAGAGATACCAGGATTGAGCATTTTAAGTATCTGAAGATTATGATGTTTTTACTGATATACTACTCAATAAGTAATAAGCTCGCTTTAAGATTGAATTGACGCAGTAAAATATTTACATTTAACAAGTGAGTATCATGTTAACCAATAACCAGGTAAATCTGCCATCTTAACAACTACCTATAGTATTGAAATACGATTAAAGACATGACGCACCAAAATGTGAGTGATTATTGTGAAATAGTGTACACTATGCCTTTGTAAGGATATTTATTTGCGGCCACTGGGTACCATTAAACATAATACCTCCTTTCCAAGGAAATACCTGGTATTTTAATTGCGCAATATAATTTAATGAGCCGTTCAATAATACTCCTACCAAATTTTAAAGATTTCATACAACGGAAAATATCGACATAGTTAGTAATGGGAGATGGACCTGGATGGCTGTTAACTGTACAGATCTTTGGAGAAGTATTTTCTTTCAATACGGAACAACAGTACTGATAAGTGTTTGTTTACCTTCTAATAAGGGGTAGAGTTAGGTGCCTGATTATTAAGCTATTGTTAAGTATAAACTTTAGCTTTCATTTTAGACGTCTCAAACTCACGCTCAGCCTTAAGATCTATTTGAAGTATAAACTTACAAAAGCAGAAACAAACAAAAGATTTGCTTGTACCAGACGCGGACCAAATAAGTTATAATATTCTGATATTATATCATCCATGACATGATCCTCCGAGCTTTTTAAAGATATTTTTACGTAAAGCTATTTCTAAACAATAAGTAATCACCCCATTTTTGTGCATCACGCCCGCATAAAATGCGTCAAAAGCACAGGTAGTTGTTAAGCCGCATGGTGCAATATGTTTTTATACTGCATGATCGGGAGCTACTCTGTTAAATCCTAGCCCTCTCGAAAAAACATAATGATAAATGCAATGATGGTACTACTTTTGCAGATTAGTATTTGCTATATTGCATTTCAAGCCCAAATGCATAACATTATTCTAAGTGGTATAAGGTACAGGGTGGGCCAAAAGTCAGTACCCATACGTTGGCCTTAATAGCTCCGCCGTGTTTTATATTTGAGAGCTGTTGCTTTGCAGATGGCATACTGTACTTACTGGTTCGAGGATTCCGTCGTCAAAATTTGAAAATTCGAATATTTTAGACCACGCCCATTCAATATTAAAACACCTATATTGTTTTCTCTGAACATGCTGAACGCCTGATTTTTTCAGAGACGGTAGATTATCAAATGTTGCATATGATCTGAAAACATGAGGCAAAACGGATTAGAAATGACGAAGTTATCAAGCATTTTCTGTATCTCGTTAACAATATTGACTGGGTGATTATGTGACACCGTGACACGACACCTTAATTGGGCACCCTTAACAATTCCCATAATGTTTAACGGGGTAGTTAACGGGGGAACCTTATCACGTGATTAGGTAAACCAATCACCTGATCACACGTAATGAATAAACTCGTTATGCTTCATATCTCGGTCATCTGAGAAGCTACAGTTCTAATTCTTTCAGGACAAACGTAATTCGAATGGCCAAACACAATTCAATAATATTTAGCTTGATCCGACTATCCAAACTATCAAATAAATGTGAAAATGAACCTCCATTTGAAAAAAATGAACGCGAATATTTTTCGAGTTGACAAATTCCTCGAACCAGTGGTGGTACTAAGTCATACCAGAAAGAAGTATTTAAATTGGGCACTCAGTGACTGAGCTATAAAGGCCAACGTATGGGTACTGACTTTTGGCCCACCCTGTATTAGCAGAAAAAGTAGTTCCACTAAAACCTTGTCTGTCTTGTTAGATTATATTGACAAATTTAAAACTTAAAAATGAACCAAATATTTTATATTACCTTCCCTTCGCAGTATCATCAACACTGCAGGCTTTTACATTACTTAAAGTTAAACAGTTTAAGCAGTTAGATTGTACAAATGGTTAAAGTTTGACAGGTTGGAATCTGTATCCCTTTCCATAAACGTTTCTACAACTGAAAGAGCATGAACATTTGGATTAAGGTTAATGTAGCTTCGTGTTCCGTCAAAATAACATTATTTAGAAAATTCTGGATCAAGTTATACCTTATACCTGTCAATAATGCAAACGGTTACTGAGTTACTTATTTGAGTATGCATTTGGTTAGGACGGGTCAGGTGATTCTTGTTTTTCTCGATGAAATGTACTATTTTGTGACCCAACAATCGAGAACTTTCCATCAATATTTAAATAAGAACTATTATCACGTGGTCATGTGACGTCACACTGGCTTGTGACGTCACACTGGCATGTGACGTCACACTGGCGTGTAACCTCTCCATCCATCGACCACACAGTTTGTTGTGACACCTGACACGACTCTAATACACACTCCACTCAGCCGAAAAAGATTTACGGGCGTTGGTTTTTGCGATTCAGACGCTGAATGTTTATGCTGTGACCAGTTAATCATTAATAATTAGCCTATACCATCCTCATTACGTACAGTCACTGCTAAGTACATGATTGTAAACAGTAACTAGTAGTTAGTAGTATTAATTGTAATATTAAATGATAGTTTTACATGACCTCATTGAGAGGCTTAACTTCAGTTAACATAATATCTGATATATTCAAGAAAGTAATTTGATCATGTTACAATTGTTACGTCATGAACAATCTATAATCAATATAAGACTATATATAGTGCTGTCACTTAATATAGTGCTGTCACTTAATATAGTGCTGTCACTTAATATAGTGCTGTCACTTGAAATAGTGCTGTCACTATAAACTGCAGCTGACGCACTAAATTACGACACATTTGAGGGGTCACTAAGTACTCCTTGTCATTGTATGTGTGGAGTGTGGTTACTGCGAGGATGATGCTGACCAGTGTAACAAATTCCAATTTTACCGAGGACAATTCTAATAAGATGCTTAATGTAATCATATTCAAATAAAGCCGACATTTTAAAAATTTAGTCGAAGATTAACTTTGGATTTACCGTTATTAATTACACGTATAGTTGCCATGTGACAAATTGAATGTGATATCAAACTGTCACTAGCAATTTAACTTAAAAAACGTTTTGGAAATAATTTGAATTATTTACAGATTTACCTATTATTACCTATTATTACCTATTATTACCTATTTTACCTATTATTACCTATTATTACCTATTATTTATATTACCTATTATTACCTATTATTACCTATTATTACCTATATAGGTATTATTACCCCTATATATAACCCTGTTATTTTTTTATTATTATATGTATAGCCAGTTTTGCTTTATTATCATTCCCTCAGGACAAACTGGTGCACCACTGCAAGTCTCTGTCTTGAAGATGACCTTTATGTCAGAAGGAAGAGAAGATATTGAACTAGATCTTGCCGGAGGTTTGCATATTTTATATTTAATTTGCATATTTTCCGCTTTTTCAAGACATTTTCCCTTTTTTTAAACACAACAATCGCGAATTTCTTTGAACATTAATGAGATTTTTAAACGATGATATAATGAAGTTGAAATTTGGGACTTCATAGAAACAATTTTTAAATAAAACTTGAACGTGAATAGCCACGTTCTCAATTGATGATCCTTTTACCTCGAGTAATCTCGATGCAAATTTAAAAAGCAGACCAGTCGCAATCAATTAGGAATCAGGATAGTCTGATAATTCTGTCTTTAAACGAAGCCGCTAACCTGCTAACCGTTCGATCGTCCTTGTTTTTGCACTTTAACTTGCAAATATTAAAAACGAAAAATATCTACTGTCGCCGCACTCGGGGTTATATCTAATTTGTTCATTAATGGTTTTTAGAAAGCCATTTCAACGGAATTGTAGAAGCTTCTAGAATCTAGACGACGGATTATTTCTACGATTTCGTTGAAATTGCTGAAACATTCTAACTTGTCTAGTTTTTAATTTAGTCGATGATATTGTGCCGGAGGTAAATTAAAATATAACATGAGATAAGAAATTTGAATTATGTACAGGAATTACGCCCGTATTTTATTACAGCAGATTTCAATCCAATGCTGTGATTATTGAATTTCATGATACTATCCTTCTAACATTACTGATCATTCATTACTTGACCGCGACAATAATTATTTAATAATATTAACGGAGGTTCCCTTACAAAGGATTCTGTAACGTGGGTTCCACACCGTAATAATTATGTATTTATTTATTTTGTAGTGTACACGCACTACGTTATATAGTGATATATCATATATTATGTGTGTGCACTGTGCAGTACAGTGATTGAGGGTTAAATGAGGAGGGGCAATGTCAAACGATCAAGAATCTACTTAGGGTACCCCTTCAGTACATCTACATTGTAGTGTACTGTAATTAGAAGAAGTTATACTAATTAGAAGAAGTTATACTATATATTATGTAACATTATGAGTAGCTTGACGGGGGCCCCCATATAATTACCATTCCGCTAAGTAACTCAGCGGGTGGGAATCCTCTCTTTTGTTCCCCAAAATTATCCAAATTATCCAAATTGTCACGTACAAATATCCAGATTTCTACTTGTCAAGGACAGCTTACTTACGCTTACATACTAGAGGGACCTATGTAGAGAGAAATCATGGTACATTAGAATCTGTATGTGACTTATTATTCCTATGTTAAACGTTACCAATTGCAGATATCGATGCAAATGGAAAACTTTTAAACCCGTCAGTAGAAAGTAGTAATGCACCGTGGAATAGTTCCGGAATTCCCCGTAGTCGTACTTAGTTTTTACTACAAGTTTATACATCATGCGATATTTTTACTTTTGGATGAAGCGGTCCGTCGTGAAACAAACTTTTAGTTCCAACTTTTTTATTTTAAAAGATCATCGCACACTTTATTTAGAAGAGAATGAAATTTATACTGGAAATTTAATTGTTGAAATACGGCCCAAACACACGTGTTTATACCGCTACTGTGAGACCTAACGCCATCTTCCAATAGGCGAGACTAAATTTTGTAATTTCCCCAGCATTGCTCGCGCCTCGCTGCCTCCTTGCAGTGTCCCATTGGAGCTCCTGAACTTGATTTAATATTGGCCTGCATCAAACCCTGACACTTACACCTGGATAAACTGTGCAACCGACACATGAGATCACACACAGCACGTTATTAAACTGAGATCCAATGTTATGATTGGACAGCAGCGCATGACCTGTCAAATTACAGAGAAAAAAGACGTGGTTTGTGGGCTATTACACGACGTGGGGATGTGTATTATATGTACTAAGTAGTTGTTGTGGGCCCCCTTTCAACGGGTTAGAGGGCTTTCTTAACAAGTTCACGTCTACTACCATCTGTCCTGTGATTGGTTCTCTAGCTCTTATGTAATACAATACTTTAATAAGCCCTATTAAGTGCACCCTAAGGATTACTATCTAGTACAATACCTACACTATACAGAGATCTTGTGTACACACTGCACTGTACCTTTGTTGGTTATGTATGGTTATATGTGGACACACAAACGACTAAAAATGCTGTAGCTGGGACAAAGGACAGTCCAATCAATGAAATGAGAAAGCGGGGCCCGCACATTTCTTTCTTACATCTCATATAATCCCAACTCATAGCGTGTGTAAACTTTATTTAATCTAGAATATGCATAATGTAATACCGTTATAGATATCGTTACATCCGCACCACACACGCAACTATTAACGGTATTTAGTAAGGGTAACTAACCCCTGGTTGGAATAAACAATCTCTCTTCCCCGTTAGAAATAACCCGCACTCTTATAATAAGTTACACGCTTGTAATAATCCTCGCACTGTTGCAAATTACTTCCATTTCCGTGTACACTCGGCTGTGAGTGTAGCGGCTTGATTGGGAAATAGTGTGTGTGTAGTGTGGTTGGGGGCTGGTGTGTCGGAGTAGAATGTGTTTATGTTTGTTTGTTTGTTTGTTTGTTGTTGTTAGGTGAACAAAATTAGATTTGTATTATGACATTATTTGTGCTGAGTTGAACAATCAAACAGTGCAATCTCTACTCATAAAGATCGGTGTCGAAACTAAATGTGCACATTTTTCTCTCTCTCTAGTATATTATGCAATGTATATTGAATATTCAAATCGGCCACATATTTCAACGTCCTTTAATAATACTGAATACTGGGGACAAGTGTCTCGGTTTCTTTCAAACATGGTGTAATGGTAAACGGTAATTCTGAATATTTTGTATATTTTTAGTTATTCAAAGCGGTATAGTACAATGAATTGGGCAGAACAGGATGACTCACGAACGTTAACTTATCTTACAGACCCTGAAATTTATTTTTGGGTCGTTGATCACTCTTCCGTTATAATTAGACTAGGACGTTTAAATGATTGTAAGAAGGGAAGGTTGACAAATTAACGGGATGTTGGTCGTATTTGAGATGGAATTCCTGAAATTTTTCTGACCCTGAAAAATATTGGATTTTGGGAGATCCTCCGTCCTCGTTTGTTGGAAGTGGGAAAGAAGATAAAAGAAATTGGGAATTGGGAAACATAACAATCAAAAATCAAAATTTAAGCCAAATTATAAAATTTTTGTCATTAAAATTAAGATGCTAACTTCAAAATATAGTAGTGACTAGTGTTGAAAGATACTCACGGTAACAACTTTTTAACATAAACTACAAGGAAATCACACCTATGACGCGTGCAGTTCTATCCTGCAGATGCAGTTTCGCGTGCGACGTTGGTCGCTGAAATACTAGCAGACATTGGCTAAAATTGTGGCTGTTGGCGCGCAAATACTTTTGAATTTGCGCGCGCGTGACTAGCTGCCCGGGTCATAATAAGTAACTACCTACTGAGCTAACCTCACCCTTGGAAACAACTTCACCCGTGAGAGACAATGGCCGTAATAAGTATAATCGTGGTGCACATGAATATCGTGACAATCGACGGTAGCTATCCGTCAAAATTGCACAGTGGCAGACGATTCGTGATGGTTATTTATTGCAGCATAATCAATCTCAAAACTGCAATCTCAAAACTTCGCTGTAGCTATGTTTTATGAAGTAACCCTCATGGTTGTTACCCACAGATTTGTCGAAGTTGAAAGAGAGCAGTGTTGTTATCAAGGAGGGCTGTGAATACCAGCTCAACTTCTCTTTCCATGTTGCCGGTGAAATCGTATCGGGACTTAGGTTCCAACAAAACATCTCTCGAAAAGGAATTCCAGGTATGTTCTTAATATGTTTATTTTGCAAATTTTCCTAGCATCTCTAGACCATAATGTCTCAAAAACCATGTCGATTGTCGGTAATATATAAAATTCCACGTCAGTTGTTCTCGCTTATATTCAACTTTATTGAGTTTAAACCATTTCAGCCAGCAAACTTAACCTGATGTTGGGAAGCTTCGGGCCACGTGACGCCAACCACGAGGTTAGTAATCACACAGACGACATGCACACATGACTACACACCCAGATGCACACTGACTTCATTCATCTTGCCATTACTATTAGTATTGTTCGTTTCACCCAAAACAATTTAACCTTACTCCAATGAAAATGAATGGTACCAATAATTTGGTATTTCCGCAGTTTAAAACTCCCCTGGATGAAGCCCCAAAAGGTGCCCTCTGCAGAGGAAAATACCACGCCAAATGCAAGTTCATTGACGATGATAAAACAGTCCATCTTGCCTGGGAGTGGACCTTCAAGATCCAATCAGACTGGTAACTAGTAGGAGAAAATATTGAATAGTCCAGCTCACCACGCAAAACCACCTGTTTTTAAGATTTTTATTTGTTATGAACCGATATAGCGTTTCATACATCGCACGGGAACAAACTCTTATAGATATATATCTGCACAACAACTTGTCTTATTGTATATTGATATCGTATGTAGGATTTAAATGAGCTGTGTTGTAATGGACTCGCCCGAATTGATATGTTAATTATTTCACTTCGGAGAAAAATTCTAATAAATGGATGGATTATAATTTACCCTTTTGATACTTTTGATAACAGTTTTACACGGAAAAGAATTGATGATGACAATTTTTGTAGCATTTTGAGAGGACAATTTCGTATTGGAATACCTCGTTTTAATAAAATTATGGAATTGTTCAAGATTCGATATAGGTCCTTTCTAGGTTATATAATTTGCTCGATACTTAAATCATTTCATTAAGCTTGACAAATTTTGTGTACTGTTAGCTACATTATAATTGATTTCGTTATATAATTGGTATAAATTGTCTAACCGTGAATTAGAAAAACAAATGCTGAGATTTGAACAACAAAACAATGTAACAGACGAAACAAATACAATAAGTTATCTCAAATCCCTCTAAATGTTAACAAAATTCCCTATTAAATTATCATCTGTACAAAATTCCAGCTTGCTGAAACGTCAAAAATTCATATAAAAAACAGTAAATCCCAACGTAAAAAGTTCACATAATATTGAGTTACGGTAAAGCCCAAAGCCCATCATGCAAATGGAATAATATCATACTGTAGAAATGTATTTATAGTCTCTAGAAGCTCCATAACGCTATTGCACCAGGTCAGCTGCAGCCGGACATTTTTTGATAGTACAGCATTTGTTTTTGGGGTCCTCCACAGTTATATAAGTAGTGAGACAAGCTTTAGGGGCCTGGGCGGTAGCACACATGGGTCTACATTCGTAGGCAGCTACATCTTTACACTCGCACACTGCGTCACACGCTTGAGTCCAGGAGTCACCTGAGAGCATTTATTTAATGAGGGGTTATTTAGGGATTAGTCACAAATATTACTTGACCAGTGGAGGGGGTGATTATTATTGGCATTGTAAAGCATACCTGTCCTAGCCTAAGGAGGAGGCGGTTTCAAATCCCTACGCTATTGGGGCTATTGCAATTCCTATACAATACCCATACAGGACGATGATTACGGAGGGCCAGGAGTCTAAAATGTGGCTTAAACGTAATAATTTGGACGACCCCTTAAATCGAATTTTTCCATCGCATCTTTTATTGACAGATGCAATGTGATGTGTGGTTTAAATACACTCTATGAATGTTTAATAGCGAAATATACTGACCAACTCTGTAGGTCTTGACTCCTACAAGACAGGTTCCTTGAGTGGGAGCTCCAATCGAAACTGTAACCATGGCAACCAGACATAACACCGGGACAACAAGGACACTCATTGTGACAAAGAACAGTAAATGAAGTTGGATAAGAGTTAAATTGCTGAGAATTCGAAGTGAACAAAATTGAAACTTGTCCGTCCTTTTATGACAGTTCTGTCAGTTGTCTGCTCTTCTCCGCTCTGCTCATTTCCTGCAGACAGCAGGGTAGACAATAAACACGTGCTGACTATTTCGGTAGACACGCCCACACTTGTCTGAAATCTTGATTTTGATTTTTGATTCATTGTTGCCAACTATTGTTTGTTATCAAGATTCAGCTGGTTGCACAACAGATTTTCTGATAGGGGTAAATATTAAATTGTTACTATGTAGCGGGCAAGCTGACTCAATATCCTGGATAACTTGTGGTGCCTTTTGTGTTTCACTTCTACTACAACTTACAAATACAAGACAGGTCATTGAAATCTCAGCAGAAATTGAAATCTCGTATTAATTGATCAGAATATCTAAAGCCCAAATCTTAGAATTATTCTTGTTGAAGGGGCCGTTCGCATATTACGTTGTCACTTTGTGGCCTATTTTTAACCCTCTCCCCTCCGTAATCATTTTACACATTTTGTTGAAATTACACCACTACCAGCGTAATCATTTAGAAACCCGGCCCTCCGTGATTACATAATAGTATTCGAAAGATCCCTGCATTAGACCCTCGTCCCCGACTAGCAGTGGGAAGATGACAGCGCTCAACAAGAATTAGATTTCCTTCTCAATTTGAATTCGGATTGTTTTTTTCTTTAAGTGTTTCAAGTTCCTTGAAACCCAAGATAACATAAAGGACCATTTTCTGAATAGTAGAAAATATAAGAATTTAACATCAATAATCAGTATGAAATAAATATTATCAAATATTATTACAATTTTAAAGAGTAAAATAGATTGAACTAGTCAAACTTTCAGTGCCAATATTTATATTGTAAAACTGAGTATTTTGATGGAAATATCCTACTTAAATATAAAAACTCACTCATTTATGTCTGAACATGTGATTTGGTTGAAATGGGTGCTAACTGACCAATAACCGTCCAGCTATTCAGTCCAAGTAATCTCCACACCCTGTTCTTTAACAACCATCTGCGCTGTTACCTCTCTGTTCCTCCACAAAACCCTCCCCCCTCCCGGCTGACTCAACATCATGATCCTGACAGACGGTGCAATCTCCCAAGATCGACCCAAAGCAGGGCCATGGTTACCATCTCCCACACTGACCAGCCCGTTTGTGTACACCACAAGGGATTTAACTGCTACAGTACCGATAGCACACTTGACCTCGTGAAGGAGAGCGTGGCCCTTGAAGTGTGCTGCACCGAGCACTGCTTGTAGAAGGGACTGAATACCATCGATAATTAGTAGGTTCACTTGCATGCTGTCTAGAGCTGACAGAGTGACGAGGAGATCGTAGACTGAACTAACATAGCAGATTGAGATGTCACTGGAGTTTGGGATGGTCTTTAAATCTGAGCCTAGAATCTTTCTGCTGCTCACTACAACTACTTTCTTGCCAGCTTTCAGACAATCTCCAGCAAGGTGCCAACATACTTTTGATTTCCTATCCCTGAGGGACCGCAGAGTTCGATAACTTGTCCGGGATGAAGACCACCGACTAGCTGGTCAAGGACGGGAAGGGTGTTTTTGAAGGAGAGGCTTTTGTTTTGTCTCAATAACCAGTCACATGGCGTGGGGAACATTCTTAGTTTGTTTCACATCTGGGTTCAAGATTTGGTTTTATTTTGATGTATTTAGACAACTTTTAACGTCATTTTGGAAGTGTAACTGCAAAGTTATACACTACTAGTACAGAACAGACTTTAGCTGAGGCCTGAGTGCATACGTATCTCTATAAAGTTTTGATGAGTCGATGTCACAAAAATAATGCTGATTATTGAAGACAAAACGAGCCCAAAAACATAAATTATTATTATGGCTGGAAGAGTAGTAAACTTTCATGAGGACTTCATGATTCATCATTGATATTTAATGCTCATTGACAAATATTGAAACAAAAATATTCACCGAAATTCTTGCTATCATTGAATAATCGTGGATTCGATTCACTTTCATTCTGTATGATAATAATTGGATGAGTAATGGTATATATTTCCAATGAATTCCTAATTATTACTCTAGCCAAATCAACGATGACGGGTCATCGGTTGCTTTTAGAGTGTTAATAACTTCGTTCAAGTCCCTCTGTACCATTAGTGGTAGCTGTCCAGATACGATAAACGTCAAGCAACCTTATATCACGCTCTGCTGCCCCTTTAGCTTGCAGTATTCAGATGGCAAGTGTTTAGATGGCAAGCAGTCCTCCGGGCTCCGTCATAGATTATAATCGGACTGGACTGACGTGTTCTTAAGCTCTAAGCCGCGCATTTACGAGCCGCGCGCTCAAAATCAACTATGTCGCGAAATTCCGTTAACGTAAGAATGGTACTGCGCCGTACGCAAACAACATCAAGATTTTGGACCACTATCTGTCCCATATTGCTATCGTTCAGTTTTTGAATGGAAGTCTGATCAAATCGTGTATTCTCCCGGCTTTCTTGTCGCCAATGCCTGGTAGTGACGACAACTTCTCTTTGTCTGCTTCAAGCACTTTCTTAACAGTCCCAAATTCTGATTTTAACCTGCAGAGATCACGCCGTTAAATGGTATACAAATATATTTGACCCTGTGAAATACGACAGAAGTTTTGAGATTGATAAGGTAACATTAATACGGAATTTAAAGCACACTGACCTGGCAACATCTGTTTTATTAACACCCCGAATAGAGGTAAGAAACCCGTTCAAGTGTCCTTGATAACTAGTATCTTTGATACCCTGTAACACTTCAGGGTGGCTTGTTCTCGTAAATCTTAAACGCTTCCAAATATCTGTAAACAAATCATTATCATTTTCTATCTAATGTAATTTTACTTTTCATTTCGCTGTATCAATTAACACAAACTACAGTAAACCCCCGCTATATTATGAGGGTTCTAATGCACAAAGCTACACACAACGTGTAGGCAGTAGATACTTAGCTTCCACCAAATCCAGCAGTTCAAACTCAAAAGGGTTCTACACAATAATGATAACTACGAAATCTTGTTAAGATAAATAAGCCAAATTTAGTGAAATAAACTATTAAAAATCTACCTAGCTGCTTCAACAGGAGACCACGCCAGCATTAGAGTAAGACTGCTTAACAGGGCTACTTTAGTAAGTTCTTGTATACATGCTGCAGAGTCGGGTATATCCACCAATATCAGCAATATCCGCACTGTATAACCCTTACCTAGCTGCCGTAATCTCTCATATATGTACTGAAATGGTAGTTTTAGTAGAAATTAGTAGAAATGTTCCTCTTGCACTTCTAAAGAAGCATTTAATCGTTACTTTGTGATAACTCCTGCACTGAAGCTTAAATATTTTATTAAACAAAAAGCGCGCTACATGATGATTATTATTACGAAAGGCCAGCACAATCCTTCTAGAAGCTAGAGCCTATAGCGCCTCCCCCCTTTAGTGCCCTCAACGGAACATAAAAGGTCTAATTTAGCGGAACAGGTGTACATTGCTCAACAAAAGGTCGCTGAGGCTTATTCAATTTGAATGTGCGTTGAGCAACAACTCTATAGTCTATAATGCAGCTGGTATACACTTTAGATTGGAGACCTGGATCAGAGGCGCACAGTTAAATAATTAGCAAGTCTGTTAAAGTGAAGCACAAATTAAGTTTACAGACTTGACAGACTGAACAATTACGGAACTATTATCTTGGGCTTTGGTAACTATCCAGATCATTGGTATCTAGATCGTTTATATGTTGACTTTCATCACTTTCAAATTCGTCTCAGCACGGTAATTTGTTGTTAGTTTTAAAACTCAGATATTAGATTATCAATTTGAAGCTTCGAATGCTAAATTTTCTGATATTCTTTGAAAACTTTACTGTAACTGTTATCAATTTACTGCATCATTTCAAAGGAACTAATCTGAGCAAGTCGTGCAATTTGAGTTTTGATTTGTTGTTATTTATAGAAATATCCAGCGAATACAGCTGACTATGACACTGCTAGTTTACTTCACTTTATTATAGAAATATCCAGCGAATACAGCTGACTATGACACTGCTAGTTTACTTCACTTTATTATAGAAATATCCAGCGAATACAGCTGACTATGACACTGCTAGTTTACTTCACTTTATTATAGAAATATCCAGCGAATACAGCTGACTATGACACTGCTAGTTTACTTCACTTTATTATAGAAATATCCAGCGAATACAGCTGACTATGACACTGCTAGTTTACTTCACTTTATTATAGAAATATCCAGCGAATACAGCTGACTATGACACTGCTAGTTTACTTCACTTTATTATAGAAATATCCAGCGAATACAGCTGACTATGACACTGCTAGTTTACTTCACTTTATTATAGAAATATCCAGCGAATACAGCTGACTATGACACTGCTAGTTTACTTCACTTTATTATAGAAATATCCAGCGAATACAGCTGACTATGACACTGCTAGTTTACTTCACTTTATTATAGAAATATCCAGCGAATACAGCTGACTATGACACTGCTAGTTTACTTCACTTTATTATAGAAATATCCAGCGAATACAGCTGACTATGACACTGCTAGTTTACTTCACGCTGCTACTAATTGTAGAAGTAGCTGCCGGAAAAACAAGTGAGTACAAACCAGTAAATGTATTATGACATAAACAGTGTAATATAAAGTTAATGTGCACATTTATGAAATATGGGATAATAATAATATTATCTAGAGTATACAAAATAAGACAAAGTCTGATTCTTATGTTCATTTCTTAAAACTAGAAGTACTCTAAAATGCCTCTAGAATTACTCTAAAATACCTCATCAGAGTGGACGGACGTGGAGTGTAATACTTATTACAACGTGAACGTAGTCACAGAAACAGTTCAAATCAAAACTGATTCCTCATTTGGCAGTGGAGATAAAATAAGTGCACAGTGGTAATTCTACATTTTATATTTACTATTTTTTGATAGCTGCAGCCTGAGTTACAATTTAGTATTGTCACGTAAAATCATTGGAGACTTTCGTGATGATCTTAATGAAAAGTGATAATTTACATATCATACGTTGAATAGTGATCACATGAGTGTTACTGTTAGACTCGTGTGACGCATCATTTTCCCCACCTTTAGGTACGACCAAGACAGAAAGTATGTTGGGTATTTGTATGTGAACTTCAACAATCCTCCTTCATACCAGGTTTTCATGTGCAAAACCACACCGCAAATATTTGATCAAAATATGTGCGTACATGAGGATAGAACATGGACAATAGAAAAAGGTAGATCATATTTAGTACATATTCTCAAATAGGCTTTTTATCGAATAGATCTATAGTTTTCAACAAGCAGTCTGATACATTTTACAGAAATCATACAGGACCAGGCCAGATTACTTTACACTGCAATGGTAAGCTGATAGCGGAGATAAACATGACTGATAATGCAGGTTGTAGAGCCACATGGAACAGATATATTGGAAATGTTTACTTTAATGACTTGGACACAGCCTCAGACAGCTATAGAGTGGGCAACTTTGTAGTTAATGGTAAGGATACAACTACTGGGAGTAAAATAAGGGGGTCTCCTTAATTACTATACTAAGTGGAGTTAGAAGCTAATTTTATTCAGTGTTTGCCGTTTGGGTTTCATGGGTTATACTGGCTGAACGAGCAATGAAAATGGGGGGAAATTTAATAATACATTTTCATTAACTTAGATATCGATAGCTTATTATGAGCCTGGTAAATTTTGGAAAACACCTCGAATCAGTGACGAAAGTATAAATGGATGAAGTGCAGGTATATGTATCTTATTAATAAGATTGATTAGTATATATCATTTAGTAGTACTAGCAGGAACCCGTATAACCCTAAAATGGTGTCAAGACTCAAGAGACTAAAATAATAATTATCATTTAGTAGTATTATTACTTACATCAGGATTAAGGCGGTGGTATTTTAGGGAGAGAAAAAGAGCACAAGTGTTAGCACCGACCAGATAGTCAGCGAGAATGTCGTCTCTGTAGGTGATCACAACGTTGCGCATGTGCGCAAGTAGAGGATTACCACGCTGTCTTGTGGACACAATCACCGCTGAACTTGAACTCTGCGAGGAATATTGTCAATTAGTTCTGACTCAGTCCCAAATATGCGACGTGCAAAAAGCAAATTTCAATTCAATAAGATTTCGAAGATTTAAAGATCCTAAATTATCGCACCTGAGGCTGTTCTGGTTTCTTGGGTGGCTCTGCCTGATCAGAAGCAGGCTTTTCCTCCAATTTCCTTTTTCTGTTCTCTTCAGCAGCCTTTTCTGCGTCCTCCTCATTGTAAAACTCGCTATCTTTAATAAATGAAAACGCATCTGATAGGGATGTTGGGGCTGACTTGACCGAGTTAACAGCTGGAGTCTCTCTAGTACTATTTTGTTTTGGCTGTTCCAACACTTGTTTCGTTCGTGAGTCCGACAGATCTTTTGCGCTATTTGTACAAACTGGTGATACTGTGGTAGTAGTGTTTGAAGATGTAGGTTTAGTAGTGGTTGCGATGGTTGTGGTGGTGGTTGCATCGGCCCGGCCATGGTTTCTTACTGTTTCATCAAGACTGGCTGCACTTTTGCTTTTGAAGTAACTTTTTACAGGGATTTCATCCTCAGCAATAGGGTCATCTGGAATTTTGTACATCTCCTTAAATTTTAAAACTGCATAGACATTAATATCAAATAACTAAATTATTTTGATTAAGGTGTAATTATTTACCAAATGCAATTTAAGGCACCAGACCTCCAGGATAATGAGTCCCTTGAACTTTATATTAACTTTATATACTTCTGTATTTGATGCATAAGATGTAGCAAATAAACGACCATCTTAAAAAACGTAATTATAATATCAACGTTAAAATACAATAACATAGTGTACATACTTTGTAACTTTTCAGTATTTAAAAATTATTAAATTTTGGTTTTTTAAACTTTTAAAGCTAAAATTCTGATAAAAATTTCAAGGTCTCTTCGGAACAAGGCCTATCAGAAGAATCCTGTGGAGTATACTCAAGTCCAACATACCCACTATATCTCCTCGATATCATATGTTTAAAAATCTTCCTGTAATCAACACCTCCCTCGGCATTAACCTCATTTCGTTTAGGAGTCTGAGCAACTTGAACATGTTTGATGAAATGCAGGTTGCAACCGTCAAATAGATCTGCTATCTGTTCATCTGTTTCTCCCAGCATGCTCAGATGGAAGACATCAAACTGGAAAGCTATGTTTGGAACGCAAATGTCCTGAACAAGCATCAAGGTTTCCCTTGGATCGTTGAGAAAATAACCAGGTATGGTCCCAGGGCTGATGGTTTCTATTAGGCCAACAATTCCGTGTTTTTTCAAAATGTCTGAAGCTTGCCTCATGTTATGAATGAAAATTTGCCTTTGTCCCTCGTAAGGAGGTTCATTTCCTGCCATGATGTGAAGTTGTGAGCATTTCAGCGCAGTGCAATACTCGACCCCTTGTTGAACACCAGCCATGAACTCTGTTAACTTGTTCTGGCAAGACGCCAAGCCTGGCTCCTTGTTCACGCCCAGAGGAGTATTGATTAATACAACTTGCATTGGATGAGCAGTAAGTGCTTCCTGCCATTCATCAAGCGACCAAGAGTATGGAAATGCCACTTCTAAAGCATTAAACCCACAAGATGTTGCCTTCTGAAGTCTGTTTATCAATGATGTTGACTGAGGAAACATTGTTCCAATATTGCATGCGAACTTGAGGGTTTGTGAAACAGCCATGGTCGTTGGCTTAAATTACAAATGTCATTAGATGTAATAAATCATTATATAATAAAATTTTATAAAAAAATACTTCGAATAATCAAATAAAATAAAATTACCGTATAAAAACCAGAGGCCTAAATCTAGTTTCCAATCAACCGAAGATAGGATTGAAGAATGGTTTGAAATGGAGGATTTGTGCTGTAGCTATGTATAACACTAAAATTAAGTGGTGCAACTAAACCATTTACTTTTTTAAGAACAGCATTTGAGCACCCTTGGAAGCTACCAGGTTGATTCAAATTACAAGCTATCTCAACAACATCTTCACCTTCAAACACATTTCTGTACGGCATCGCTAGAATTCCATGTTTCATGCTTCTAATATCAGGAATGAGAGGTAAGATTCTCTCGATATCATCTGTGTTAATGACCATGTTAAAGCTCATGACATAAGGAATAGCTCCTACAACGGAGGTTCCTAGTTTTGGATGTCCAACAACTGTTCCTTTATCCTTGGTCTGTCCACGTTCGAAGAATGATGTGGATTTGCGGACTTGTACCAAAGATTTACCTTGTTCTTTATCCGCAGATCCATAAAGAAGGGTTGGTATGTTCTTTGACAGGAGATTGTCTGAGATGCTTATAGCTGCTTCTGCAGCATCATCAAGAGTCGTGTTGTGCAATGGATGAACAGGAATGTTATCAATGATGCCGATATGATGATGCATGGTCGTGTCCAAAACTCGATCAGGACTATTCACATCGATGTCTTCCAGAGCTATGTCAGTGATCTGATCCACTAATCCTATGATCTCATCTCTTTGTCCACATAAGGTCAAATTTGACCGATTGAAAAGGGGATCAACAAAAGATTTTACCAAGTGTTTGGAGCAGATATTCAGTACCTTTGAAATGACCTCTGTATTTCGAGCTTCCTGAATGTTCAGGCAGCATACTAGAAGTCTCTGATTCATAGGTGAAATCTGTGAACTAGTACTTAATTTTATAAATTTTATTCAACAGTGAAGGGCTTGAATGTACAGTAGTTATGTTTTAAATCTATTCAATTTCATAGTAACAACAATAATTGTTCTCTACCATTTAATTTAGGATTGAACATTAATATGAGTCAATGAGACACGAAACTTGAGGTCAAATTATGGCTTCAAACTTAGCAAAATGGATACATCGGTCACAAACAATATGATAACAGCGGTTATTTCCATGTGGGTGAGAGTGATGGCGAACTCTCTAGGAACATAGTGAATGTGAGAATAGTATAATGAATAATAGATAATGATTCAACTAGCACAGGAGACGGATAAACCAAATATGATAGTTAATATAGAAGGTGTTACTATACTACTTTAACTAAATATAGTTGTATAGTGTATACTATTAACCCACAGGCACAGCCTCTGAAAATTACAATATAAAATTAAACCAATAAAGCAAAAGTTTATCAAAATCATACTTTATACATACAAATCTGACGAGCCTTTAAGTTTGGTAAGCACTGAACTTAGCATCTAAACTCTAAATAATTACCCCTTCCAACAATTAATATTACAGCCCATTATAAGCTTTTTGGGCACTTGCTTGGTTCAAAATCTTCCTAATCGAGTCTTTATCTACACTTGATAGTTCTCCTCTGGGGAATTTCACATCAAATGTTATAAACAAGTTTCCTAACTTATTCCTGTCTTCAAAGTTAGGCATTCCTTCCCCCTTCTTCATGATAAGAGCACCAGGCCATGTTACCTTCTCTCGCTTTACAGGAACTCCATGTCCGTCCAAGTGAGCAAGTGTCATGTCAAATCCAACAAGAGCTTCTTGAAGAGAAATAGTGAGGTTTGTGTACAAGTCATCTCCTTTTCTTTCAAATTTCGGGTGTCTCATGGTTTTAACTTTGAAGAAAAGGTCTCCTGAGTCTCCTTCCATGTGGGGCTCTCCCTTACCTGGTGAAATTTAATATTACTTCTAGCTCAATTAGCTATCTCAGATGAGCTTTGGAATATTTGAAGGGATATCCATTTAAAGTGGTAGTATGCACTTTTACCAAATCATTTACTGGCATTTATAGCTTAGTGAAGTGATACATTTTAAGTAATTAGATAAATCCAAGTAATAATACATACCAGAGAATCTCTGAGTCATGCCATCAAGCATGCCCGGCTCAATCTCCAAATCCAACTCCTCTGTTACAGTTACCAACACTAAGTTAGCACATTGGTCGCAAACTCTGTGTTGGGTCATCTGAAAAGATTCTTATTAATATATCATTGAGAAAAATCGCTTTTTAAAACCTTACAATAAAGAATACTGACGCTCGGTTGGACTGACATGACTGTTCTACCTAACTTTCTACAAGTAAATTTCAACTGATGTGCACAAATACACAGACATGAATAGGAATTTAACTAGCAAATGATATTACCTGAAATGAGCCAGGGCCCGTCATATGAGTTTTCATTTCCATTCTGCAGTTGCATTGCCTAGTTCCGGAGGTCTCTTCATATGTGGGTCTGTCTCTTTTAACTGTTACAAAATTTCCCAAGTAGAGTTCTTCAAGTGAGACAAACAGGTCAACAACGACATCAGATCCTTTATGTTCTTGTTGTTCTTCTTGCTGCTGTCCAAAACCGAAATGTCCAAAGAAATTAGCAAATGGATCATGTCCCCCACCCTGCTGCATATTCTTGATACCATCCTCACCATGCCTATCATAGGTTTTCCGTTTATCATCATCGGCAAGAATTTCATATACTTCACCAATTTCTTTGAATTTGTCTGAAGCTGTGTCATCACCAGGATTTTTATCTGGGTGATATTTCATTGCAAGCTTTCGATATGCCTTCTTGATTTCTTTCTTAGAAGCTGACTTGCTCACACCAAGTATTTTATAAAAGTCCCTTCCAGCCAGTGCTAGGAGAAGAAGTGTAAATAGAAAAAAGAGCTGCCGCCAAGCCATTTGACCTGATAGTGTAAAAGTTAAAAGTCATGTCATGATCAAAGAACGAATTGTTCAAATTAATAAACGAAGCTAGGAAGCTTCTGTTTTTATCATTAACTGCATAATGAGCCATTAATAACTGGGGTAGTGGGCTGAACTTCATCAGGTCTATAATATGCACCTTCTGATAACACTAGACCACCTTTTGTCAGGATACTAGGTTAAACTATACTATATCTTTATTATTTCATCTATAACAGCTAATATGTTTATTGTAATAAATGAAAACAAGATTTTTACTTCAATCAACTATAGTAACAATTTTATGGGGCATAAAATTATCCCATTTTTCAGGAGTGTATGGTGGCTTGGACTTTTGAGTAGTTAAGTAGATTAAGATTAGTAAACATGCTCTGGCATTGTATCTATAATATTAGAAACTATAAATTAACCTACACAGTGCAATGGATAAGCAGGCTGATCTTGGAGAGAGCATAAGGATTGTGCGCCAACATAACATAACATTATAAACAATGCCTCTCTGGGCATCTTTTTAAAAAATTCACAGAAAATGAACACTTTACGTTTAAAACCATATAATTACAAACTTTTAAAAAATTTAACTAAATACCTTTGATATTAACCTTCTTCCTCTTAGCTACCAATGGATTCTCTTTCATATAACTTACATAACTATTCCTCTTAGACACACACACACATCTATCCTGTCAAAGATGTCATATGACAGTTCCCAGTAGTAGCCAAGCTTATTTGCCTGATATCCATGAAGCCGAAAGGCATCTAATCCCCTCTTGAATCCAGTAACCGACTCACTAGCTCACTGGTAATAAACCAGGGCTACCTGCCTACCCAATTGTTCGTTGTGGTCCAGGGACAGTTCTTGACATGAGAAAACACTATGTAGTTAGACTTAGCGTGGAACTGGTTATCATAATTGTTCTTGCTGGTTTACCACCTTATATAGTTATATTTATAGATTCCAAGTCACCACACTAAAAATTCTCAAAAACAACAACTCGAAAGGCCAAGTTGACGGATGTTACTCGTCTAAATTTCTTCGAAGTAGCGCGCCGCTTTCTTCTTGAAATGTTGGCCCGATAGCAAGTGCTACGAAGTAGCGCGCGCCGGGCCAGATCATTAACAATGGTCAAAAGGCCAAGGTGATTCAAGAAAATATGTCAGTGACTTGTAGCTATGTAGCCTAGACATTTATGGACATTTTTGCTTTGCTTCCTGCAAATTTCTAGATACTCACGAAACTTTGCACAGACCTTCAGCTTCCCAAAGTTGACACACGCTGTAACCCCTTTTGAGCGCGCACGAGAGGTATACACATGTAGCAATCCCAAAGGTATGAATAAATGATTTCCGAGTAAAAACTTTTTACCGTGGGCAAACGTTCCCCAGGCCAGGAAGGCCACACCCATATTAAGCTTTTTTATTGAAACAGTGATGACAGCAAGTCTAGGGACTACGGGTGGAAGATGAATAATTGAAATTCCAACAGCATCTTGTTCCCTTCATTGTGCTAATTCCGGGAAGCATTCTGTTTACGCTCTCATCATTCTGTAGGATGAGATATTGTTCATTTAAAATTGGGTAATTATAGGCCTGCCAAGGATTGCAGCCCAATTAAGAGCTGATCAATTGCAGCTCCTTGTGCCATATAAGGGATAACTGAGGTCACGTGACAGTTGGTCCTATCACGTGACCTTGATTCGTAAATCCTCGAGCACGTGATCACATTCGAAACGTGTCGTATGCCGATTAGGATATTTTGTGACGTCACCAGAGCTCAAGTGACTTGATCAGGCCTTATATGGAATAATATAGTGTTTCGTGTGTAATTGGACCCATTTAGAGCAGCTGAGCGCTCAATTATAGCAGCATCTCGTACCACCTTCTGAAACCCAGCAGACAGCTGGCTCAGAGAATCGAAAATAGAAGGATTTTTTCCTTTTCACCTTTTTGAAAAAAGGCAATAGTGCAAGGTTACGAATGGAGGTTTTTGCAGAAAAACGTGGATTTTGGAGAACGAGATAGGTGGGTTTAAATATGTCGTGTGTCCTTCCTTCCTTCCGTTCGTTACCATGCAACGAGGATTGCTTGCGGAGATGTGATGTATAGATAGCCTGTGATCTATAAATGCGCGGCGCGACTGTGTTTTAATGTATATGATGCATGTAATGTATAATATTACTATTAGGTAATACGCCCAATTTGTACGTGGCACACGTAGTGTATTGATGTGTGCACGAGTATAGTTTACATTTGCTGATAATTTCTTGGATTACAGATACAAGTTAAGTTCTACAGCAATTGAACTGAATTTCAAGTGTTTCCCGTATTTGATGCATAATTTATCAATATTATTATTATGAAGATTGAAGTGAGCTGATTGGAGCTTATACTTAAATTTATAGAAAATGTGAAATGGAAATCTAGCGTCCGCCAAAACGAAACAACGGTTACTGGGCCGCGCTCAGCCTGTCATTCCGCCTAATCTCTATTCGGTTGTTTATCAACATTAAAGCCTGGGGTCCTCAGGTAAAACAACGGGCGCAATTCTTGTTTATGGATGAAAATCAAAGGGAAAACCTTGTAACCCTACGTTTTCGATGACGCTGAATAAGATTAAACCGGTTATAATTATCATACTATCGTGTAAATTGCTTTAAAACGTACTTGAAATTTGAATGATGCTATCAATTGTAATACAATTTGTACAATAAGCTGAGCGGCTTAACCGCTGGCATTCCTTGGCCGCACTCATCCCAGCTTGTCATTCCGCCTCAGCTTCACTGTTTGTGAATATTACAGCCTGGGGTCCCCAGGTAGTTAACTCCAAATGTAAGAAGAAAAATAATTATCTCATTAGGCTACTCAGTAATTTAACTACAAACCTTTTATCTTAACTTGCAACTAAATTTCAAATAATTTTCTTTGTATCACGTCGTGACCCCCATTGTCGGTTCACTAAGTGTATCGTTTCTACGATACATGGGAGCCGCGCACTCGTGCGCGCCGGGCCATACAACGTATGACAAGTATTTGCAATTTGGAGGACTTCTTCGCTTCAACGTGCATGATGATGAACTATTTTTCTTACTTCGCATCGAGATTGTTGTTTTGTTAATTCGGAGAGCAACAATCTGGAAGAGTTGACATCGCAATCAAAACAAGTGTAGTAGTGCAGTGCACTACTGGGCCGCGCCGCGCATTAAATAATGTTTCTCACAACCAACAACTTGGAGGGCTTCGACGCGCCGCGCAAACTAGCATTCTTGCTTCGCATCGAACAACGATCCACGATCGCTGCTGTGCTTCATAAAGCAACGATCTCGATGGGTTGACATCGTCAATCAACTCACGACATTAGATTTAAATCGGTGATATCAGATATGCACCATTAGGCAAGCCGAGTTCACCTTGACCATTGTTGATTGTTAATGGACTGTCCCTGCGGACGCTACTTCGTAGCACTTGCCGTTCGTGATTCGAGAAGAAAGCGAATAGAGATTAGGCAGAATGACAAGCTGTCTATTCATCTCATGTTAATGAACATAATAGACTGGGGTCCCCAGGTAACTTCGAAGTAGCGCGCGCCGCTTTCTTCTCGAATCACGAATGGCAGCTTGAAGCTGAGCGCGGCCCAGTAACTTCGAAGAAATTAAGACGAGTAACATCCGTTTAAGTTTACCTAACCATTTAACGGATGTTACTCGTCTAAATTTCTTTGAAGTAGCGCGCGTCGCTTTCTTCTCACTGGCCCGACGGCAAGTGCTACGAAGTAGCGCGCGCCGGGCCAAATCATTAACAATGGTCAACCTAACCATGTGCTTTTTCACATAGCCATGTGTCTACGCGTACTGCGTGACGCGCTTGTTTCACTTCGGCGGTCGCGCGCTACTGCAAGCGAGAGGGCTCTGGTTAGAGCAAGACCTTAGGCTATTATATTTATGTTCATAATCATATAAAATAGAGATTCGGCGGAATGACAGGCTGAGCGCGGCCCAGTAAATTAAAATTTGTGCACCCGAAAAGGCGCAGTTTATATCTCCGCCAAAAGCAAATTTGTAAGCACTCACGCGCATTATATCCAAATGTGATTTTAAATTTTCGCATTGGATGGTTGCGCATTAGATGGTTACTATGCCGCGCCCTGCGCTGCAGCATTACAATTTATTCCATCAATTGAGACCTTCGCCCCGCATTTAAGCTACTCGTCTGATATGATACCTTTATTTTTTAACAGTTTATTTTTTAAACATTTGATCAATTATTCTGTCTTATTTTGTTCCATTTTAAACTGTACGATCAGTTGTGTATGAAAATTATAATGATTGTCACGAGATGTTTGATCTAGTTATTAGAGTTGAGCTAATTCTAGTCCTTGTTATGACAGTATTAAAACTGTAATAATTGTCACGAGATGTTTGATCTAGTTATTAGAGTTGAGCTATTCCTAGTCCTTGTTATGACAGTATTAAAACTACAATAGTTGTCACGAGATGTTTGATCTAGTTATTAGAGTTGAGCTATTCCTAGTCCTTGTTATGACAGTATTAAAACTACAATAGTTGTCACGAGATGTTTGATCTAATTATTAGAGTCGAGCTATTCCTAGTCCTTGTTATGACAGTATTAAAACTACAATAGTTGTCACGGGATGTTTGATCTAGTTATTAGAGTTGAGATATTCCTAGTCCTTGTTATGACAGTATTAAAACTACAATAGTTGTCACGAGATGTTTGATCTAGTGGCTAGAGTTGAGCTATTCCTAGTCCTTGTTATGACAGTATTAAAACTACAATAGTTGTCACGAGATGTTTGATCTAGTTATTAGAGTTGAGCTATTCCTAGTTCTTGCTATGCCAGTATTAAAACTACAATAGTTGTCACGAGATGTTTGATCTAGTTATTAGAGTTGAGCTATTCCTAGTTCTTGCTATGACAGTATTAAAACTACAATAGTTGTCACGAGATGTTTGATCTAG